TTAGAAAGCTCAATTATCGACTTAAGATAGTGATCACTATACTATGAACCTGTATGGTGAATAGATGCAGAATGAAACAGATAGAGAAATGAATCCTCACTATTCCTCACTAATGAATTCCATTTTCATGGGTAAATGGTCACTGATGACTTAGCCACGGTAGGTCCACCCTGAGAACCACACAGTGGCTGGAACCACAAATCCAGTGGGATATCATCATTTTCCCGCATGAAAATTGCAATAAACTGGGACATACCTCGTTATGCCTAGTATACCTCATAATTTCTGGGCAAACCCACCGATCAGAATATATGCTGGTTGGTGTTTTTTTCTCCATATGTTGGGAATAATCATCCCAACTGACCAATATGTTTCAGAGGGGTTGAAACCACCAACCAGTATGTGCGTTTGTTGTAGATCCCATAAAATGTTCCATCGAATATCAATGATGCTTGGCATGTGTTGGTCTTTCACCCCTATGATAGGCTATCTGGACAAACCCATGTCATCCCATTAAGTCCTTATTCAATCCAGAGTGAAAACATGCTTAAACCCTAGCCTGTTTTCCATAGAATGATTTAAATTTGATATAGTTTAATCGTCCCATGGCATCCTCATAAAGTGCTTCAAGCCAACATTTGATCAGCTAAATCCCTATTTTTGCTGGCGAAATCTCATCCATGCCCTACTAAGTCCTACTACTGCATATAAAATATACGTATGAGTCCCATTGCATCCCATTGCATCCCATTGATGAATATTGAATCCTCTTAAATCCTACAAAGTGGTGCCCCCCAGTGATGTGAACGTTGGTGTAGATTCGCCCCAGTAACTAGTTCGTTATTTGCGTACCATAAACCAGTTCGTGAAATTGGAGTTATTTGCACCAACTTAGCTATCGTGGGGCCTCACGACTTGTATAAATCAACCACTTTTGAGGAATATTCACCATAAATAATCCATATTCAACCCATGTGCATCCCATTGATTCAATTGAATCCTGTTAAATCCTACTATAAATCCCATGAAATCCCATGATGCCCTTAGGATCCTGCATGGTGAGATCGATACCATCATTCCAGTGAGCCATGCACGACGTCTCTGCGACGCTGCCACTTTTGCGACCAGAAGGTGGGGATTTCACCAGAAGGTCTTCGAAAGTTCACCTAGACCACCATATATCTGGGAAAATCTGGGTAAATTTGATCACGACCCTAGACCACCATATAATATATCTGGGTAAATTAGATCACGACCCTAGACCACCATATATTTGGGTAAATTTGATCACGACCTCACTGCGACCTCCCTCACTGGAGGAAATTAATGATAGTAAGGGGAATTATCCCAAAAATGGCCAAACTATTCAGGTTAGGGAATGATGATTAATTCACCTAGATATATGAGGGTTTCCATAAATGGGAAAACACCCCATTCATAGCTGGAAGGTGTGTAGAATGGAAAATCCAAACTGAAAATGGATGATAATTGGGGTACCCCCCATTTATGGAAACCCTCATATGGGGATATTGAAACAGCCTACGATCAACTGGCAAAGGGTCCATAAGGTGTCCAAGTGAAACAATCTAATGGGTTGAAAGTCCAAATATCAATTGCCTATAAAGGTTACATTATGTTCATTGACATGCTATTTGATATCTTGGGGATAACTCTCATGGATATGTTTTAATTGAAATATCCGACAACAGTAACCCCCTGTTTGATTTTACTATATGAACAATTTTATGCTAGTGACACATGCTAAGTTCATGGTGGTTCAAGTAATAAAACTACAGGGCATACACCAGTTTATGGTATATTTTGTGTGTGATATGTGTGTTATAATAGGGACCATTAAATTGGATATTCTGTATACTTTCATATTATGGGGACATGGTGTTGGACATAACTAATGATCAATGAGATATTCGTGTTGTGTTTGTTATTGTCCTTTAGGAGTAACACAGATTAATGTTAAATGTGTGTGAATCTTCTTTTCGGTATTGCTCTTTGGAAATCCAATGGACTTATCATGTTCATGTTGACGCTCATTTATTTGCCAGACATTGTGAATCTAGTGGGTAGACCATGAGCGATAAATAAGACCTTTTAAGGTCTCTAAATATCCCATGTCTAGATTGTAGCATTAGGTATGGTGTACTATTGGGGTTCAAAGTCCTACTGGGACCACTTGTGTCTTCTGACAGAAAAATCGGGACGAGATCAGCAAGTTGCAGGTTGGTCACCGTGAGCAAAGGCCACAATGACATCTCGAACAGTTCGAAATACGTGGCTCGGCTGCGGAGAAGATGAATCTCCGCTTTTTTTGAGCACATTTCACCAGGGTTTCGGGGGTGTAAGTTTACAAGTCCATTTTTTCTGTGGGAAGATTTTGTTTCATCTTCAATTGTTTGTACATCCCCATAAAATTGCAAGAGTTGTTGCCATTATAAGATTTTATAGGAATGAAGAATCCAAATGGCTAGCTGGGATTTGTTGGTTTACTGTAGATAACTCGAACCAGAGGCGCTTACTATTTGACCAAGTTTAGGAAACTGTGAAGGGAGATCAGATCATGTCAACCCAACCCTGAGGTAATATGCTGCACTTTGTTCACAAGGGAAGGAACCGCCAGAAAGATATGAGTTGATCTTGCAAATGGCTCTCTGTTCTTTAAGCGTAAAAAACATAGGTTGAATTTATCAACACTGAACTTGTGGACGGGTTGCAGCAAAAAAAAAACTCTTTGCTGAGCCACTGCAAGCCTAGTAAGACACCTGAAATATTTATACCGACCTCACTGCGCCACTGCTAGGGTACATGATTTTGACCCATGCCAATGTCAGGTGTGCAACTGATTTTAAACGATCATAGTTTGGTCTCAGAAGACATACAAACATGACTGCAGGGGAGCACATGAACGCTCCCCCCCAGGACCAAGTATCGGTAAAACAGAAACCCCACTTGAGGGTACAGTTCCATTAATAGTGGCTATGTATAACCATAGTTTTATATAAAGGTTAAGGTTATTCCCAACTTATAGGGGTTTACCTATATGATCACATCACATCTCCACCGCACTTGAGGTGACAGCTCTCAAGAAGTTCTTGGACGGTGGATAGCTTGATGAAAATTTAAGGGTACCAGCACTCCCGAACCCAAACTTTTGCGACCGTGCCTGGTAGGCGTTTCGATAGATCTTCTGGTTGGTGGTTGCGTTCAAATTTGTGATTCGAGTCTTGGAAATGGGATAACGACGATGATAATCATTATCATGGTGATGATGATTGTATTACTATTATCATTATCGTTATTATCACTGTATTATTATTGATTGATATTGATTGATATATTAATCTGAAAGCAGCGTTGTGAGCGCCCACGTTTTGGGCAGTCTCCTTTTGCCACTTTTCTCCATGAATCTACCCATCCAGACAAAAAATATGGCTGCACTTGTCACTTCAACATTGCATCTCCCACAGGCAAACCCCAAGAACAAAATTCCCTACACAAAATTAAACTCCATAACTGAAAACCGAAAAACCAAAAAAAACAAACAACTACAAAAAAACAAAAAAAACATAGATTCCAGAGAAAGGTTGGGGGGCTCATAGTTGCTGGATCTTTGTTTTTTTTTTGGGTTTTTTTTCGGTTTTTTGTGTTTTTTTGGTGGTTTTGCTTATTGTACCGCCTGTCTATAGGGGTGGTTTTACCTTGAAAATGTGTTCTCCATATTTCCTGAACAGCAAGGCCTAATTTCCGATTTTCTGGAGGTGGTGGCTCTGTTTGTGTAATTTTCTTGTGAGCAAGGAATACCACCCTCTTTTCTGAAAAACACTAATTTAATGTATATGCATATTTTATCTTAAGGAAATGCTACCCTTCTCTAAAAGGACTACTACCTCTATGGAAGGAATTACATATGTTCATTAAAATATATGGAAGACAGAACGCACTTGTTCTAAAGGAATGCTATGCACATCTCAGGGTCTTGCTTTACACTTTCTCAAAGGAATGTTGTTCCCTCTATAGAAGAATGTTGCATAGAGGCATGCCACAACTTCCTCAAGAAATGCCACATTCTTTCAAATTTTCAACGATGACTTATGAGAAGCATGCTGTGGCCCTTAGAATCTGAGTTGATGCTGTACTAGGGTTTAATAACACAATATTTTTCAAAGGAACAATATGCTTACCCTTGCAAAACATTCCATATCTCTTTCTGTAGGGAGCTCTGTCAGGAAGATGCAATGCTGCTTGGGGACAAAATGAAATCTTCTGTCAATCAAAAGTGCTGTTTCCTCTTGTTCATGCTTGCTATAAAAACCTGCAACATAGAAGCAAACACACCCCTATCATTTGAGCATGGCGCAACAGGGCAAAATTGAATTTTCTTTCTGATATTCACTGGCTAAATGACATAGAACCGTTGATAGACAACCTGCAGCAATGAGAACATGTCTTAAAACTGCTGGAAAAGGCAACAGTACATATTGCTTACAGACTTGGACACACATGTCAGAAAATGCTCAAAACATAGCATTTTTTTAAGAGATTTGTGGGCGCTGAGAGCGCTGGCCTCTCATATTAATATATATATATATTATAATAATAGTAACATAATAATAATGATTATTATCATTTCCCAAGCCCGAGTGACTATTCTTTTGGTGCCACAATGGCTCAATCACCAATCAGTTTTCCCAACGGTTTGATGGGCCAAAGAAGCCCTGATGGTTTGATGAGCGTGCAGTGCTCAAGTGAAAAAATGGAGTCAGCCGATGTGGTTTCACATTAAAGGTGACAACGGCTAAGGCACTCATGACCTTTTGTTGTGGTTATGTCCTATTAATCAGGATTTATACGTAGTGGAATAATGCTTGAGAATGATGAAAAAATGGTGATTCATGCACCATGATGCTAAGCTGCAGCTACTACAGTAGCCATTGTGAGAGCTTCCAGTTCCGCCCACTTGGGACCATCCCGGTCATCCCCTGCAGGCGACGTTGCAGGGTCAGCTGGGCACTGGCAACCGGATCAGCTCAGTGGTGGGGATCACAGGAGTTGTGGAGCCCGTCATCCACGTCTGGAAAGTCGTGACAACATAAAAAAAATCGCTGTTAAATGGATGGAAAGTAGTCCCAGATATGGAAAATGGATGAAAATGGACGGATTCTACAGAAAGTCATCTAGGGACACGGAAAGGCCATTTTCCGTATCTATGTTCGCTGATGGGGAGGGCTGGGCAAGCAAGGTCAATGGGCAATGTGGTCAAGACACTCTAAACGTACACATATACGCAATCTCCCAATTCAACATAAAACCACTCTATCGAAGAAACTATCAAGATCCCAAAATATCAAATTGCTAAGATTGGGTGTGGCTTATTGTTGAGTTTACTATTGTTTTTGTCAGTACGCCACACTAAAATTAGTTTGAGATATACGATACAACTGTAGCAATCGCCTGTGAACATCAATGAGCAGAGGTCGGAAAGTGCCAACATGTTGGGCGTAGCAGTAAGATTGAATTCAAACAAAAGAAATGACATAAACCATCATAAACCCCGATTCTTCGCATAGATCAACATGAAGAACTGCCAGTTTACAAAGCCACATGATGTATAGTTCCAAGCTTAAGTATCATAAACCATACTTATTGGATTTATAAACCAACACACCAGAAGTTGGGGACCAAAAAAGGTCTTATTTGTTCATAGTCATCTCAGCCGGGTAGGGCTACGATTTTTCGGGATGAAGCTGGATGGATTTTGTGGTTTCCCTGAAGGGACTAACTCAGCTGTGGCATCAAAAAATCATCCATTCATAGTCCATTACAATCCATGTGTAGATCATGAATGTCCATTAATCCATGTATAGATCATTTATGATGATAGTCCATTATGATCATTTCTTCGATCATTTTCTAAAAAACGACCTCACTGTTCTCCCTCACTGGAATCATGGTTTTCATAAGGGAAATCATCCCCATGTGAGGCCTTAATTCAGGTTAGTGAAATATTATAATTTACCCAGATGGATCATTTCTTCGATCATTTTTTCTTAAAAAAGGAAAGTAGACATACCTGAAACACAGTTGCTCAACGCCTTTTTTCAGAGCTACAGCGACCTCATTGGACAAAGTTTTGAGTTGCTCAACGTCATTGAAAACCAAGGTGTTTCCGAATGTGCCCCAGTCTTTGAGCAAACCTCATTTGCCATTTGATTGGATTTTCTAAATGGAAGTCCATGTAAATCTATGATTAATCCATGTAAAGCTGTTTTTTTCCGCAGATTTACATGGATTACCCTCTGGTAAACATACAAAAAGCTATTGAACATGGCCATTTATAGTTGATTTATCCATTGAAAATGGTGATTTTCCAGAGTTTTTTGTATGTTTACTTACCAGAGGGTAATCATCGATTTACCATGGGACTTCGCTGACTTCCCCATGGTTTTAAAACCATGAACCGGGGCAACCTGAGGTGCAGTACCCAGTGTCCACCAGGGATCCGGACAACATGTGCTCCAACTACAAGCGACATCTCTCGGCTGAGGTACGTCGGGTACGTTTTTTTGTTGGTGAAAGCTACGTTGATGTGCCCGATTTGTATGTTGGGGTATATTATATATAATTACTGTCTATTTACAAGATGGTGCCCCAGTTTGTTAGCTAAGTTGGTGCAAATAACTCCCATTTCACTATGGTTTATGGCAGATATAACTATAGTTACCCTCTGGTAAATTAACTTGTTGACCCTGAGATTTTCACCAATTTTTAGAGGAAACTAATCTGAACCAACCCCGATGACTACCAGGGTCGTCATGTTAATTTACTGGAGGGTATATATAATTACTGTCTCTTTCAAAGATATGATATTGGAAGATATGATATTGTTACTAAGTATATCTGGTTGGTGGTTTGGAACATGACTTTAATTTTCCCCAATAGTTGGGAATTTCATGATCCCAACTGACTTTCATATTTTTCAGAGGGGTTGAAAGTTGAAACCACCAACCAGTATAATTACTGTCTATTTAAAGATATTGATTAACCACTTGCAGTCATCATTATATATATTAATATTGATCAATAGCACTATATTATTATCCATTGTTATTATTTAATATTATTATTCTTTACTATTCTTTATTATGGTTGTTACTATTATTAAATTATTATTATCATGATATGTTCATGGATTTTACATTGACAGGTTAGATTACATTAGATTACCAGCGTGTAGGTTGATGGGTTTGATGGGTGAATGGATTGTTTTTTTTTCGGCATATTTCCTATGCATTAAGATAAATGATGATAAATGTGAAATAGGAGGATAAACAAATGGGTATGGGTCAATACCTATAGATACATTTTTAGTGGGATGAACATCCATTTACCAGCTATTTTGGGGTTCACCAGGGGTACAAGGTTTTGACCCATCCCCAAATGTCAAATTAAGTTAGTATATTAAGTCTATATTGTGAAATCACCAAGCGGCGATTCTGGGATAAGCCACGGCCATCGAAGAACGGTTCATCTGGAGACTCCTGCAGGATAGGCACATTCTTCGTGTGCGGGTGAAACACTACATGCGAGGACGGAAGGGGCCACGACGGGCTGACTCCAGCGGTCGCAATGTTTGAAATGGATTGCAACGCTGAAATCATTGGGTGGTTTGATGGAAAATCTGCAGGAATCCGTTGTTTCTACAAACAAAATCAAACAAATATGTTCATTCAATTCTGGTGTGAAAGGATCTTCCCTTTCATGCTCAACGCCCGTTACATCCCACTCACTTCAAGCGTAGTTGCAACCCGTCACTGGAACAGGCCGGTGATTGTGAGTTGGCTAAGGACTCACATCTTCCAGAACAGAACACTTTTTGTTTGATTGATTTGATTGCGGCTTCACCAAAAGCAGTGTGCTCTCATGAAAAGCTTCAGTGTTGCTGACGCTACCGAGGAAATATCCAGGGCTTTTCTTGATGTCTTGATGTGTTGAAGGTGATTGTTCACCAGCAAAAAAGAGGACTTGACCAGGTTTTGAATGATGAACAGAGTGATTTGACCTGATTTTCCATCGCATGGTCAACTTCAGCCCTTTTGGGGTAGTGATCCTTCTCAAGCATCTTGGAGGCTGCATAAAATTCTGATGAAAAAGCACTGGATTTCTAGATGGTCAAAACCAAAAGGCACAAGGAAACTTATTTTGCTCATTTGGGCTGCGACTCATAAAATATTGAGGGAGAGTAGGCCCTGGTATCTAGAATCTATTCCATACTGAGCTGTGTGACTGCACTGCTGACGCATGCACAGCTGGAAACCACATGACGTCCTACATTTCTTAGGTATTTCCATTTGTATCCATTTGTTGAATGGTTCAAACAGTAGCTGATAACTAGCCAGAGCTTAACCACACACATCAAGACCAAATATTTGGTCATATGTGGTCCCTTGAACTACCCTCCAATATCATTAAACATTGCTATTTGTAGCTGAGAAATCTCTGAACTATAGCTGGGCAATTGTATATATATGTATATATATAGAGAATATTTGAGAAGATCGTGGAAAAACATGTATAGATTATTATAGCTGGGCATATAGAGAAAGAAAGAAAGATAGATAGATAGATAGATAGATAGACAGATAGACAGACAGACAGACAGATAGATAGATGATTTTTATCTGTAGGAAAATCATCAATATTACTATACCATATTATAAATGATTGATATTCCATTGCAATTTTTGATTAACAGCTGGTGCGGCACACACCAAAGGACAGCCATCATGGCCCAGCAATGTCTACGAGGCGGAAACCAAGACTGGGCCATGAGCCGGACGAAGGGGGTTGACATGAAGAATTTTCAATCTACACCCTCTGGTAAACTAACAGTTTGCTATGGAAAATCACCATCCTTAATAGGTAAATCAACGATTTCTATGGTATATTTTCAATAGCTATGTTAAATTACAATAGGGTAAATGGGGAAAAATCATCTACAAATGTAGGTTTTAATTGGGGGGTTTCATCGATTGTAATGCGAAAATCATCCATAAATGAGGGCCCGTAGTAATTCATACTACTCTGTGGTAGTTTAACACTTGGCTGTGTGGTATTGCAAATTTACTTCGGTGACTTACCTTTGAAACATGTTGATTTTCAAAAGCAAACTGTGAAGTTACCAGAGGGTATTGCAACACATCCATTGCAATTGTATTCCACTGAAAGGATGCGGGAGATTTGACATATGTGTTCGAAGACATCCGATCAATTTGTTTATATTTCTGTAAGCATCGGATAGAACCCAGTTGCTCCCAATTCCTAAATGTCGCTCATCATTTATGATCTTGTTAAGTTCTGGGATCATAGCATGCCAATGGCCCAAATGAGGTACTCGTACCTGAAATGCAGCTACTAATAAGGACCTTGTCAGACCCAAGTTTTGGGAATATTCCCTTGCATAGGCATCTTAGGCCTAAACATAGTGATATAGACATTTGCATGTTTGTGCATGTTTTAGGTAGAGTTCCTCCGATTTCCATTTTATATAGGCATCCTAAAAATGTCCGCTGACCCTTTTTTTTTCTTCAAAAAAAGTTGGAGCCCTTCAATCAACCGACAGATCTCCTGTTGGCGCAAGGCTTAGGAGGACATGCTTTCCTCCCGATTCAGACATGTTCATCATGCTTGGGAATAACATGAGTTCTTGATGATTTACTTTTCTATCCCTGCAAATCGGGAGGAATATTCGCATTCTGAGGCCATGGACTGCTTCACTGCTTCCCAACGTCCGGCAGTTTCAAATGTTGTTTGTAGTATGTCCATCAGTCCATCCATTTTGAGGACTGGTTGAGGTTGTATAAACCTCCAGCCATTTTTTTTGGGTGGGTTGTCCCAGCCCTACCGGGTGGTGTTTCCTAGGCCGAGAAAGTCTTTCTGCAGACCTTTGCCAAATGCCCAGAACTCTGCACTGCGACTTGGCGTCATGGCTGACATCACCGAAGAATCACCTGACTAGTGAAAGAAAGGCCCAGTTTAGCATCTATTTGGTTTCACGTTTGTTCATTCTCAACAATGATACTGACAAGTGTGGTCCCCAAGTGACAATATAGTAAGTTTTTGTTTTGAGGGTTGGCTCAATCAACAACCTATTCGCAACGATGGTCTTGGCACCGAAATGCCTTGATTGGAGTACAGCTACCCAACTGCGAGTTTGCATAGGAGTGGAATGGGATTATGAATCCCGTTTGTAGTGTAATAAAGGCCCATGATTGAGATGACTGGCTAAGTTTTGGTTGAGCCTATTGGGTAATTGATTGTCCAATATTTGCCATATATGGGGACAACTATCACCAAATATCAGGATATTGGGCAACAAAATCATTCTATACTAAACTTATGAACTACCTATTTGATGCTTAAGAAAGAGCCCATGATTGCAGTAATATCACCATATTTTATCCAGACCCTGGAGTCTGGTGAAAGATAAGACGGTTCAGCTTGGCTCAGGCGTTCTACGGAAACGAGGCCTTCTGCGAGAAGCTCCTCATGGACTCTGTGAATGCTTACGAGTACGGTGTGCCAGGGATCCCTAGAGAGTCTCATTTGTGCTTCTTTTGCAGAAATGGGGAAGTTCCACCATGAACTGGATTGTGGATTTACATGGATTCATCAGGATTCATCCGGTGCATAACATGGATATGATATGGGTTTGTCCAAACATGGGGGATTAGTCATGGGTTTATATTACCCATGGCTCTTGGGAGATGATATGAGGCTTTCCATAGTCATGGGGGTACCCCAAGCTCGCTGGATGGTTTATTTCATGGTTAAAGTCCGAAAATCCCATGGATGATGACTGGGGTGTAGCACCATTTACGGAAACCTCCATATGGGATAATAATCTGGTTGGTGGTTTGGAACATTTTTTATTTTCCGCAATATATGGGACAAACCTTCCCATTGACTAATATTTTTCAGAGGGGTTGAAACCACCAACCAGTAATCACAATTGACTCATATGTTTTGAGGATTTTGAAACCAGCGCTGATACACCAATTATGAGTTTCTTGGAGGTCTGTTCGCAATTCACCACCATTGGTAGCCCATTGATATTCTTTGAGATTCCTGAAGGTTTCTGGAGAGGTTGCATTCACGGTGTGGTTTCGCATCCTGCTTGTGAAAGGATGATCAACACATAGCCTTTCTTTTGGAAGGGAGACGGGATGGCAAAATGTTAGCTTTAATCAGGGGTGGTTTATTATTGAGTTTGCGCACTTTGTTAGCTTTATTTGGGTTTGGTTTACCAATCATAGGTCAACATTAGACATTGCTGCAGGGTTTCGTGTTCCAAGTAGCATGCGGTGGTCACCAAACGGGTTGATACAAAACAAGTTGTGGTGTTTCATCAAGTCATGAAAGAACGATTGGGACTAGTGACTAGTGTAGCTACATCTCTTTGTCACCATCCTTCTCTACGAATTATGTAGCACACATTATGAGTCAAATATTGCTTAATTGTACACACCGACGCTTTATGGTTTTCAGAACTTATATGATAATACGACATATATATCTCAATTCCTATCATTGATTAATACTTTGTCCATATCATCGTGAATCTAATCTTTATATGGGGAAATATCCTTGTGCATGATATATATATATATATTATAAAAGTCATCATGAGCTCACTGGATTGTTTTTCTCCTTTGATCCTATGTCATCCTGTTCTTCAAGGGGTTAAACTTTTTAAACGCCCAACATATCAACATCGACCGGTCAATTTTGTGACCGTTTCCTGAGGTGCCACGATGCGCCAGCTCATACTCAGTTCAGGTTGCCGAGGGGATTATCATCAACCATGGGATGGGGCAGTTTTCAAAGACAGATTGGTGACAGATTCGCTTTTATTGTTCCGTATATACAAGATAAATATATATATATATATATGTTGCTGTTCCATTGTTCCATATGTGACATACAGACCATGCTTTTCTTTCTTTTCATGTTCCTCTGTATGTATCATGTAAGAGAATCATGGAGATGAATAAAACAGTGTGAATATATGAATTACTGTAAGTTTCTACCCGTTTGTTGGCAATGTATTCACACTTGCCAGCTTCTGATCATCGCTACTGAATTGCTAGGCTTCCCTCCCTTTAAAATGTTCAGTCTGGTTGCTTGTTTCCCTATGTCTTCCTGGTTATATAACGTTACATATCGTCACGGTTATTGTTAATTATATATATATATATATTATACAATCTTTCACTTATACCGACATATCATGTCGTATGTATACACTGCTTACATCCTCATCTTGGTCATCTTCCCTGCGACCATGTTGCGCAACTTTTTGAAACTGCCAGCGAATCAGGATGAATAGCCCCTACTGGGAAGAATCCTTTCGAAACAAAGCAGCCGTGGGAGCTGCCGAGGCTGCGGCTGCAAATGTCGCGATGGATTCGTGGTAATGGGTGAACAGAAACAAACTTAGTAAAGGGAGACAATATTGTGTAGCTGTACCGATGACGAGTACCGGATGTCTTGAATTTTGGGGAATCAACAAAACTGAAAAAAAAACACAACAGTGCGCATCGAGTGAAGTTTTCCCCGAAATGCGGAAAACCATTTCATCCGGGTGTACAGTGTACATTGTCCAACTCTGGTTAGATTAGATAAATGAGTGGGTCGCTGCAATCAGCTACAGTGCACAAATGTCTGGAGATCGGGAGATCCCGATCTCGCTAGAAACCAGCATCAAAAAACTCCATGGGGTAGTGTACCAAAGGTCCCCAAACCAAATACGACCTCTTTTTAAGGGATTATTACCATACATCGACCCTAAAGGGGGCTAAGGGCTAAGCATCCGCATTCTGAAAGGTGACCTTGTCGGAGGCATCTCGGTTCAAGTCTCCTTAAGCCACTTAAAATGCTTCGGGCCACGCTGAGCTTGTCATGGCTATCCCTGGCCTTTGGGGAAACCTTTACGCTTCCGGCGTTGCCATACGAGTGCCTTGGACTTCGCTACACATCCCCTACTTTTGCTGGCAAAGTGCCAATTTTGCTGCTTCAAATTCCCCATGCTTTGCTAGAGTCTGCTAGAGTGCTATCCACCCACGCAATCCTTTTCCAGATCCTCTGGTTTGCGGTTTTACCCTCTGGCAAACTAGCACAACATAACTATGGACAATATCAATGTTTAATGGGTAAATCAACTATAAATTACCATTTTCAATAGCTTTGTTGAATTACCGAAGGGTATATATGGCTTAAATACGTTGAACAGTTCCATCCTACCTGGTTCCCAATTTTATTTCAACACGATGTTTCAAGGGATTTCGCCATCGCCCTGTCGCCCAGCGTAGGTATGATGCCTTAGAGCCTTACATTGATGAGCAGACCATGAGAATACATCACCAGCACCTGGGCTTCCAGTGGGACATGGCTGCCAGCATCACATGGAGTATAGGTCAGCACTGGGCGCCCTCAATAGTTCCACGGGTCACGGGATCCCATATTGCGGGATGGTCATCAATCCACTAATGATACTAATGGGGATTTACCAGATCATGATAAGATCTTTCCCATGGATTCCCATTATGGGGTTGAGTGTGAACCATATGCTGTACATGACTGTAGCATGTACCCTCTGGTAAATTTTCACTTGTTGACCCTGAATTTTTCACCAATAAAAATAGTGGAAACTAGTCTTCCAACCCCTGTCTGCCAGGGTCTATGTTAATTTACTGGAGGGTAACTTGACAATGGCACATGTCCATACATGTCCGTACATGTCCTAACTATCGAAACTTGTCGCTGAGGAAGCACCATGCCACCTATGTGGCAGGATTGAACACAGCACTTACAGCCAAGGGCGGTGCTCCTGCCAAAGGTTGGAGCATTCGGGGAAGTAGCGGGTAGAAAGAGAAGACATTGCGGGAAAATTGACCATAACCATGTTTTATCAATTGGATCAATAACCATTAGATAAAACCCATTGATTATAGATAGTTGATCCATAACCATGTTTTATCAATTGGATCAACTATCTATCATCATGTTGCAACAACCCGCAAATCTCTCCCTTGGGGTATCGCGCACATGCTCACTGTCCGAGTGTTGGTGTGTAACACCAGGCTGTGCAGTTGGGGTGTCCACAACAACAACAACAACAACAACGATAATATGTTTCTTTTTCAAGTCAACAAACAGTATTTTCAATTCTTCAAAATATCAATCATTAAGCACGGGACATGGGAATACAATCAGTAAGCCAGAAGGAACATCAGCAGTCGCTATGGATTCAACCAATCGACAAATGGCATCATTTTGCCGTACTAGAAATAGGATCTAATCGGAGAAAGCAACACTCAAAAAAGTCCCTTCGTTTTGAACCATAGCATTTTTCAAGGTAAGCCCAAGCGGAGGAGTAGCTTTCAAATTTCCCTCTTGACATTCTTCCATCTTGTGCCTTTATTTCTACACACCAATGTTGCCGCTGCATTTAAGTTTGCAGTCAAATGCCAGTCAAACTTATTTTGGACGAACATAATTTGGAGCTGAGCCTTTCCTCCATATGGCGGTATATATCGCTCAATATGAATGTGTTGGTGCCCTCCGGTCATCCAAAATGGCTATTGAAAATCCATCATTTATTAGATGATTTCCGCCTTGAACCTCCGTTCGCAGGGGATTTTCCATGGTCACGTTTGATTGTCAGAGAGTGGGCCCCCTATTAGTGGGTCAAGGTCTTTCTCGTCTATCTCCATTTCCGTTGGCACTATTCTGTTTGAGACGCTTAGCTGTAAGTGCACATTGCATATGTATGCTGCAAAGGTATACCTATATACGGTACTTACATACCTATATATATATATATACATGTATATATCAAATATCCATAGAACTTTAGAAACAGTGCAAATGATATCCCATACTCATTGGTGGCCTTGCAGCAGGTGACGCGTCCTTCCTCACGGAGTTGCAAAAATCGGCGGCCACGACGTCCCCAGCGATGCGAAATCACGGCGGGGGACATTACAATCACGCGCTCTTTTGGGTCACTGGCTGCATTTCTGGTCAGAGACATGCATTGGTTGCTGATATTTTTGCCGGTTTAATGGTGTTTAATATGGATATGTTTTTTTTTTTGTGCAGGAGTTTAAAACCACTATACAACTCTTGGGGTGCAAGGCGCCGGCCGCCAGGTAAAACACCTCATGACTCTTTGGGTTAATTGGCATATTGGCAGGATCGTGAACTGTACTTTAGCAGTTACAAAGTGCAACAGGCGCCAACTGGCAATTTTAAGGCGTTGAATCTTAATCGTCCAGTTTGAGCGGGTCAATCATTTACAGTTCTTGGCAGAGAACAGTGTACCATTTTTTGCCCCCTTGGCCAACCCTATGAGGACGGTTTGTTCTTCAGGTTCTGCAACTATCATTGAGACTCCAGCGATCCAGCATGGCAATAGATTTTTCTCCATTTTCCTTCATGTTTGTCAATGTTGATAGAACATGTTTGCAATAAAAAACATGAAAAATCAGATCATGTTCCATCTCTTTGAATACCAGAAAATATATGCCTGAAGGACCAATTGGCACACAAATGTCTGCTCTACCTTGGGTTTGGGCACACGTTTTTGGAGGTGAAAATCACCCCATCCCCCTACTAAACATCCCCTAAATGGTCCCAAGTATTTCTATTCCCTACAGTGATTAGGCCACCAGTTATGGCCGTCACTTATAAACCCATAAAAATCATAAAAATGATCATCCCATCAACAGTTCTTCGCCTAAACTTTTTGACGATTTTGTACCTGGCCACGTCGGGCTAAAGGCAGAAACCTTGGTTCCTGGCCACCCGGCGAGGTGAACCTCGCCAGCGCCAGCAGTCCCTCTGAGCCCAGCGCCGATTTGGGCGCGGCCATCGACGATCGCTTCGGTGGCGTGGTGGACCTGGGCTGCTGCTGGTTAGACGTTGGAAAACACGAGAAGTTGAATGGGGATTTTTTAACATCATTAATTTCGTGGGAATATTTAGGGTTCATAATTTCATGGGATTGTCTGGAATTTAACATGATTCCAACAATATGTTCATGAGATTTGATGGGATACCCTCCGGTAATCAAAGATATAGCGGAAAATCCATCATTTTCCCATCAAAACCTCCATTGAGTTCGGGGATTTCCCAGCCATGTTCGATTACTAGAGGTCAATTAGTTGCTGTTTCTCCCAGATTTTTGAGGAAGGTCTAAGTCCAAAGATGCAAATTGCTAGGCAAATTGAAGCCGCCTTCTTGGGGGAAGAACCAGCAATACATAGGAAGACCCCCCCAGTTATAAGTTGATTTATAAAGCCCATCGACATCCATTGACTATAGTTATAAGATGAAATAAGTATCATAAACCGTCCATTGTTATTGGAGTTATGTTCACGAACTTAGCTATCGTTTGGGGTTCCCATGGTTCCCACTTTGTACTGAATGTGTCAGAGGGGTGTATATCACCCTCTTTTCATTAACATAGACCCTGCCAAACAGGAGTTGGAAGAACACATTCCTCAACCAAGTAGTGATTCTCAGGGTCTATGTCAGTTGGGGGTATAGCCATGCTTCGCCATGGACTTTGCCATAGATTTTGTCTCAGACAAGGAAGAATGACTTTCCATTCCAATATAGTAGCCCCCAATATCAGGTAGAAAAGTGTTTCCAAGATGTTATAGCTTATGTTTCTTCCATAATTTCCAGGTGTCCAACTTTCTATCTTAGATTCTGGGTTGCTGACGTATTTTGAATGGATTATAGTGGGAAGATGATTTCACCCTATGCCTTGCAGAGGAGTCGAAAGCGAACCAAACTGATATGTAGATTCAAAATAAAACATTGAGAACATCCCAAACAAAATCATAGTCTGGTTTTCAGTGGATTACACCAATGGCAGAAGGCCCTTCCCATGTTGGGCGGCTTTTATTGTTATGAGATTTTCTGAGCCACAGAGGATGTGCGAGCAATTGCTATTGTTTGCTGTTTTTGTTTTCTGTTTTTTTTGGTGTTCCGATTTTGCATTTTTTCATGTTTTTTTTTCTGTTTTTTCTTTGCATGTTTCGTGTGTTGTTGTTTTTCTTTAGTTTGTTTGCTTTTGTCATTGTTTTTGTTTCATTGTGCTATTCTTGTTTGTGTTTGTTTTGTTTTTGCCTCTTCACTATCTCTTAGTTCCAGCAGGATAGGGATCACTTATAGGAAATAATTGCTTTGCACCCTTTTTAATCATAGAGCGGCTCAAATCCATGTTATTTTCTCGTATTTTTTTTGTGGTCGTTATTCCCTTCTGCGTTGGGGTCCTGTTTTCTTCCTATTTCTTTCGTGTTCATCTTCCCCTTTTGCGTTGGGGTCCTGTTTGGACCAGAGGGCCCGAAATCGAATGTCTCGTATTCTGTATTCTTGCAAGAATGCTTTGCAGACATGTTTAGTCGTAATATTGAAAACCCTGGGTTGGAGAAGTGTGGCAACACATCAGACAAGGCATGGCAACCAGAAGAAAACAAAAAGTGAAACAAAAAACAACACCCACAAACAGTGAAAAAGAAGAGGAAAAATAACAGGAAACAACATGAACAAAAACAGGAAAACAACAGGAAAAACACAGGAAAAAGACACGAAAAACAGGAAACAAAACACGAAACAATTAACATCCAAAATCCTGGCCTCCGGCTAGTAAAAAATCTCATAATTTTATATTGTTAGGCTCCCGGCTCTCCGCCGATGATATTTGCTGTTGACTAAAGCCAGCCATTTCTTGGAGATATCACTCAGTGGTGCTGTTCCGATTCGCGTTGTTCCGTGGCTTCATGGCCAAGAGATACCCATCCCGATCCAAATACAGCCTGAGAAGCTGATTGAATCCCACCAACTGCTTCCTCAGAAAGTATAGCTTGATTGGTCAAGTCACCTTTGTTGCTTTTCACGGTAAATGTTGCTTTTTCGATTTGACACCTGATTTAGGGGAGCAAATGGCAGGATTCCCTCCAAACGGGTACCAGGTATGATTAGTTTAAGATTTTCAACGTTGACATGCAAACGTCACATTTATAGATTTGGTCGTATCTGGTAATAAACATTATTATTAGCTGTGAACCAAATCAAAGCTTAGCTTTTGGGATGTTCAGTTTTGACCCTTTTGGAAGAAATGGGTCGCCAAACCAGTGGTGCCACGCTGGCAGAAATTCCCTTCTCGAGGTAGTTTGGAGGGTCTCAAAGAGGTGCCATCTCTGTCGTGGCGTCGACCCTAGGTTTTAGTAAAGACTTATTATAACTATGGAAAATCTCCATTTTCAATGGGAAAATCAACTATAAATGGGCCATTTTCAATAGCTATGTTAGTTTACCAGAGGGTATTAGGCACTCTGAGTTGGTTTTTTTTTCAGTTTTAAGAGAATATTTTTTCACCAGGGTTTTGAATACAAAGTTGAGTTTTGAGCCAGGATATTCAGCAGGATTGGACCACAGAATCTAAAATTCGGCCCTGCTTTGAAGTCACTGGTCCAATTCCAGGTTGTCAACTTATCCAATATGGGAAGCCAGGGAAGCCATCGAACCAGTGGATCGATATGGACAGGTGAACTGGGCACTGCTTGTTATAACTGGGATCGAAGCAGTATACATCAAGACTGGAGAGTTGAGAAGCAAGAAACATCCTGTTTCAACATGATATGATATCCCATAGGATCCATGTATGCTATATATGGTAACATGGATCCCATCAATATACCCCCTTTATGTTAGTATATATACCAGCACCATGGATCCTATGGGTATGAATATCTGGGCACTAAGAATGAATCAAAGTTGAGCCACTTTGGGATAGTTACCCTACTCCCAAGCATCATTTCTGGTGACCACGTGATATTTACCCAGATATAGATGGGTAGACTTGTTGGGACCCACCAATGTTGGGGTTGTTTAGCCACAAACCATAGGATCTGTGGGAATTTGGACCCACGCCCATTTTGTCTGGTTGAATCTCCTTCTTTGAATGATAAGAAATGAGGTTAATGGTGATTTAACCATCATTCAAAAATCATTCAAATGGGATTACCCTCTGGTTATTTAACATAGCCATGGAAAATGGCCCATAGAAATGATGGTTTACCCATTTCTCATCATTCAAATGGGATTTCTCATCATTTAACCATCATTTCTCCTTGGTTTCCCATCAGTTCACCGTGATTTTTATGGGCTTTCCATGGGTCACCCGCCAGGCCTTCACGCAGGCGGCCCTAAGCCGCTTCGGCAGCGGCTGGGCCTGGCTGGGTGTCACGCCGGACGGGGCGTTGAAGGTGACCTCTACGGCGAATCAGGAGCAGATGGGAGGTATCACCAGTAATTGGTTAATAATAGTCAATAGTTATTGATTGAAGTCAATAATAAAGCTATTATTATTGATTATAGTTATTAATTATGTTGATAATAGTTATACTTATATTATGATTATAGTTAATAGTTAATAGTTAATAGTTAATAGATAATAGTTAATATATGGTTGATAATAGTTTTCTAGTTATTGATTATATGACTTGACCTATATGATAGCTGGTTGGTGGTTTGGAACATGAATTTGATTTTGCCATATATCGGGAAGAAACATCCCAACTGACTTTCATATTTTTCAGAGGGGTTGAAACCACCAACCAGTATATAATGATTATAGTTGATTGGTAATTAAATAATAATAGTTATATAATAATAATAGTTCATATAATTATTCATATAGATAATGATTAATGGTTGTTAATGTTTTTTTTCATGATCACCAAATGGTGAACTAATAGGTTTAATATGGTTTAGTATGGTTTAATGCCACCTAAAGTGAATAATGGGAGTTATATGTTGGTGAATGATATATAATGATTAAAGGATGTTAATGGGAATAATTAAGTTTAGAGTCTTGATATCACCAATAATGTGCTTAATGATAGAATGATTATAGGATAATAATGGGATAATCATGGTTAATACTTGGATGTTATTTTCACCACGTTAATTTGCAATTTTTGTAATAGTAATAGTGGTTAGTTAGTAATGGTTAATGAATAGTAAACCATACCATTAACTAACCATGACAATAGTTTGGTATTACCAGTAATGTGCTTAATGATAGAGTCATTATGGGATTATCATGGGATTATCATGGTCAATACTGGGGTGTTAATTTGACAACATTAATTAGTTAGTAATAATGGTTAGTTAGTAATGGTTATAATGGTTGATTAATAGCAAGCCATCCCATTAACTAACCATGAAAATAGTTAGGTATCACCAGTAATGTGCTTAATGATAGAATGAATGTGCGATAATAATGGGATTATCATGGGAAAATCATGATTGATGATTGTTCATACTGGGGTGTTAATTTAACAACATGACTAATAATGGTTGTTAGTGAATAATAGTCACCATCCCGTTGACGAACCATGGTTTTGGGTTAACCATGGTAAATTAATTTTGTTTTAAATTATAGGGGATGATTAGTATCCTAAAATGATTCGTAATCATCCCCTATCATTCCTATCATCTAAAAAGGATTCTAAATGAATGGTATTAAAACCACTAAAATCATTGATGTTTTGGTTTTAAATGGTAAATTCATGATTCACTGGTCCTTCATCACCGTTTTTTTTTGTGGTAAAAACCGCCATAGTCACCATCGTATTAACCAAGCATGATTGGGATGGTGGACTGGTCTATGGTATTGGATCTACCACATAAATTTAGTGGAAAACCATGGAAGAATAATAGGATCAACCATGGTTAAGTGCTATGAATATTTATCAATGGGAATCATTCATGATATGCCAATGGGAACTAGGATCATTGGTGATTTTGTGGTTCACATTAACCATTGGAATATTGTTGGAATTATAAGGATAAATTGGGGTCTAATTTCTCAATGAGGATATACCAATTTGGTGAATTAATAGGAATTTGTTAAGTTAACAAAGTAGTTGTTATCAAACATCCAACGGGTATCACCATTACCATAGGAATACCAATCACCATAGGAATTACTAATCGAACTATGGAAAGCCCAACCACTTGTATCAACCAGTATCAATTAGTGCAGTAGGAAATAATGGGATGAACGCTGATGAACGAAAAGAGAACCATGAGGCTTTGATGAAAAGTATAACATTTCACTTTGGTAAACTATATGAACATATAACTAATCTACGCACTATTATAGTATAATCACTTTTATGAACGGATGAAACGGCTTTATAACTCCCAGTGGCACCAACAGGCTGGCCACAATAGGCTCCAGGATTTTTAGGATGGGTCTCTTACAGGAATTTTTCGGATAAGGGATGTGGGAACCTTGGGAATATGACCATCTAGTGGGAACCAATCTGGCCACAATCTTACTAGTGGGATGTAATATGCCCAACTTTGGGCTTTGATTTATGAACCGATATTTGAAATAATAAGGGGTCAACCGGTCAACCATGGAAATTAAGGGATTTAATGGTTGGAAACTAGGGTGTAATCGTGACTGGCATACTTAGACTTCCTTTAAGTTTCACTAAGTGTACCTCTTCAATCCACCTTGGGTGATGAAATTATCCTGTGTGTAATATCATATCTGGTTGGTGGTTTCAAACATGTTTTATTTTCCACAATATATGGGAACATCCTTCCCATTGACTTTCATATTTTTCAGAGGGGTTCAAACCACCAATCAGATAAGTTGGTGCAAATAACTCCAATAACTATGGCAACTATGGTACCTATAACTATAGTTACTGGGGCGAATCTAAACCAACTTATCTATCTTGAGGGCCTCACATTGTAGGAATGATATTTTGAGTGACAAACTATAGGATGAACCGTGGGGACGACCCTCTGGTTATGACTAACAGCTCGCCATGGAAAATCACCATGCTATTAATAGGTAAAGCCAGGTAAAGCATCTATTTCTATGGGCCATGTTCCATGGCTATGTTAGTCATAACCAGAGGGTATATAATGATTTTCAGGATAACTATATGGGGATATGGCATAGGGATATGAATCATATGATGTGATAATTATCAGGATAACAAGTACCGTGACGTATCATATCGTATCATGGGAGGCGGTTAAACCCAAATATGGAGGATTTAAACACTGAGAAATGGGTTCCAAAGACCCAGTGATTTTCAGCATACGAAACTCCCTTCCATCGGCCGAAGGCGACCCATCCAAGCACCTAGACTCTCTAGAACCATGGATATATCTAGGTCACACCAACAGTGCAGTATTGTTCACCAGTTTTGTTTTGGAATGTTTTGGATAAACGGAGTGTCTAAGTATGTGTGGAATACCACCACGATGGATCATTTTGGATACCCTCTGGTAAACTAACAGTTTGCTATTGAAAATGGCCATAGAAATAGTGGATTTACCCATTAAAAATGGTGGATCTTTCCATAGTTTTTTGTATGCTTACCAGAGGGTACCCATGGTGTGACTTTTTAACGATCGCCAGCTCTCAATGTTCACCGCGAGGACAATCCATTGATGGAAGGCACGTCTCACGGTGTGAATCTGAGGAGACAAGTCAAGTCCCCCATTTTTGTCAGTGGGAGTTGATTCATGATGGTTGCAAACCTTCTATAAACAAGTGAATATGTATAGTATAAAATAATAGTTAATATATATATATAATTACTTTACTTCGTGTGATCCCCACCATGACATTTATACATTTTGTTACTGGCAAATCTTCTGGCATTCTATCTGACATATTTTCTGGCATTCGATCTGGCATTCTATCTGGCATATCTTCTGGCATTCTACCTGGCATATCTTCTGGCAGATGTTCTGGCATATCTTCTGGAAGATGTTCTGGCATATCTTCTGGCATATCTTCTGGCATATGTTCTGGCATATCTTCTGGCATTCCATCTGGCATTCTATCTGGCATATCTTCTGGCATATTATCTGGCAAATCTTCTGGCATTCCATCTGGCATTCTATCTAGCATATCTTCTGGCATCTATCTGGCAAATCTTCTGGCATATTATCTGGCAAATCTCTATGGCATTCTATCTACATTCTGGCACTTTCTGGCACTGGCATCTGGCATATCTTCTGGCATTCTAGCTGACATTCTATCTGGCATTCTATCTGGCATACCTTCTGGCATTCTATCTGGCATATCTTCTAACATTCTATCTGGCATATCTTCTGGCACTCTATGTGGCATATCTTTTGGCGTGGATACTCGCGGTTGAGGTCCGGCAGGGAACACTTGGCGCGGATACTCGCGGTTGAGGTCCGGCAGGGAACACTGGGCGCGGATGGTCGCGGTTGAGGTCCGGCAGGGAACACTGGGCGCGGATGGTCGTGGTTGAGGTCCGGCAGGGAACACTGGGCGTGGATGGTCGTGGTTGAGGTCCGGCAGGGAACACTGGGCGAGGATGGTCGTGGTTGAGGTCCGGCAGGGAACACTGGGCGTGGATGGTCGTGGTTGAGGTCCGGCAGGGAACACTGGGCGTGGATGGTCGTGGTTGAGGTCCGGCAGCGAACACTGTGGATCGCGGATCGCAGTTGAGCAAGGACGACGAGGACGACGAGGACGACGAGGAGGACGAGGAGGAGGAGAGGAGGAGGAGGAGCAGGAGGAGGAGCAGGAGGAGGAGCAGGAGGAGGAGGAGGAGGCAACTGACATAAAATCTAACAACCCTCACCTGGCAGGTGGGGAACAATAATAATAATAATAATCATAATCATAATAATAACAATAATAATAATAACAATAATAATATATATATATATATATACTGTATAATATGTAATACCTGGTCCAAATCCAGGCAAATGGCAATCTGGAAAAAGGTGACTCTGCCCCTGGGAATCAACTGGGATGGACGGTTTATCATTTGATATGTTACCCTCTGGTTATTTAACATAGCCATGGGAAATGGCCCATTTATAGATGGTTTACCTATTAAAAAAATGTGATTTTTCATGGCTATGTTAAATAACCAGATGGCAATATTTATCTTTATTTATGTTCTTTACAGGTTCTATGTCTAGTCAAATACTGCATTTTTCACACTTCCCTATTTTGGAGATTTTTGTCCCCTGTTAGACATAAGAATTCTCATTCGAGTTGTGCAGCACGCCATGCTTTTGCTTGTGAAGTCCAATGAGTTCCTCCTTTTCGCGTTTTTGCTGAGAAAAAACACAAGATGTACCCTCTGGTTATGTCAAAATAGCTATTGAAAATGGCCATAGAAATAGTTGATTTACCCATTATCCATGGTGATTTTCCATAGCCTACTATATTCCAAGCTTTTTATTGTAGAAAAACCATCCATTTGGCTCGCACTTCTTCCAGGCTTGGACTACAGCCTCGAAAAGATGATTCATGGCAAAATTGAAAAAAACACCTGGTCCAGCATCGTGTATTGGTTTGCTAGTCATATACGTGGCAACCCATTGAAATCAATATTGAACTACCAAGAGAGAAAAGTGTTTCAAGGACATATTTCCTACTTTCCCACTTTTTTGAAATATGTATATAATCAAAATGGCTAGCTGGGCAAGCCACTATAAGTGGGTTTTCATAGAACACCAAAGCCATGTTTGATGGCCGCAGGGTAAGCCATATATTAACCCTATCGAAGCAGTTTGGTTGGAAATGTTAGGAGCAGTTCGAAGCCAAACAAATGCTGTCAGAGGTCCGAAACTAGCAAGACAGGATTGAGTGTATATGAGATGAAACCTCACATTACAATACATACACCATCGCAGCCCAATTAGCCATGACTCGCTAGCCGCGGAAAACCAGGTTTTCCCGCTTCTGCTATGTTGTTTTGCCAATCCGGTAATGAACCAACCTTGGATCAATAAACACTGCTTGATTCATTTTTTGGGGGTCCCCCAAAACAGTGAGACTTCTCCGAACAGTGAGCTGCCACGAGCTGACTAGAATTTTCAGAAGGGACCTGGGCTCAGGATTCCAATTTTGGGTTTGGATGTGTGGGAACACGCCTACTATCTGAAGTACCAGAACAGACGTGCGGATTACGCGTGGAAGCCTGGTTTCCAGCTTGGATGTCTATGTTTGAGGTTGATAAACCATGTTTCTTTTGGGGGATATAATAATAATGGGTATATTTTAGTACCCAACTGAAATGTGTGGATTACAACATTTTATAACCAACCATTTTATGGTGATGTTTTATCGGATTTAAAACAACCAATATGGAGTTTGGGTTTGTTTGAACATGGGGACCAGCCCCCAAATAATGCAGTTTTAATTGGGGCAATGACAATACACCACTGAGTTATAGGGTTATCCTGATTGTCAGACAAGCCCATGTGTGTCTGATGGAATAACTTAACTTACCAAATATGATCAAATCTGTATTCATCAAACTTGGCCGGAAAACATAAAATGTGTTCATACTCAACATTACTCGACAATACCATAGCATCTCGAAAATCCCTCTCCCACAGGGGAAATTTTCAGATCACTGCTGGGCCTGCTGGGGTTTTGGATGCGAGGTGAACGCATTTTGGAACATCATCAACTGGAAGAAGGCGAGGATTTTTGGGGACTTCCCATCCTGGGGCCGAAGTGAAGAAGTTATGTTCTGTGCACGAACCCTCGCAATCAGGTAGTTGAATGGTGACTCTCAGGCTTACTGTTTGGTCATCTTAACAAATATTAAAGCAGGAGTAGTATATACATAATTACACATTATATATATATATATTTATACAATATAATATCATCTCACATTATATTATATGTGTATCACGAAATGGTTTACATCTTTTTTGACAGCGGATGGCCATGGGGTTTCAACCCTGGTGACCTTTGACAGGTCAGCAGAAACTACGAGGAGTATGCCAAAAAAGGCCGGTGTGGCAATCGTTTTTTCCCTGCTGATTGATGGTTTGGAACTTATTTTTCCATGTATTGGGAATAATCATCCCAATCTGACTTTCATATGTTTCAGAGGGGTTGAAACCACCAATCAGATGATGATCTGTGACATGCGACATGACATGATGACATGATATTTTTGGTGCGCCTTTTCCCGCAAAAAAATGGATCTGTTGCTGAAATCTCCGCGTCAATTGCCGAAGATATCTGTGGTGTAGCTATTCTTTCTGCTTCAGATCAATATTTTGGGATACACCAAATGTACCTTTTTTGCCAATGTACCTTCAGATATTCAATATCTGCGATATCGAAAACTTCTTGCTGGGTTCTCCTTATTTTGTCGCTGCGAAAATCGACCCGTTGGGTCCACATTGTGGATTAGGCAAGGCTGTACCACCGACACCCACTGGCAGCCAGAGCCCAAGGGTGGACCTGTAGGAGGGAGGGAAACCGGGGGAATATCATATGATGTCCAACTCAACAGCAACTTTCAGATTTCAACTTTTCAGGGTATCTATAGTATCTAGCCAATCTAGCGATAGACAGGGGAGGTATCAAAGGAAGGTATACTTCTGGGTGAATTATGAGTAATTATAGCGATCTCACCACAATGTCACCATTAAATGATGATTGGGCGTTCTGAGGGGAACTACATGAACTTATGTGACTCTATTTGAGGCTAGTAAATTATTCAATCTAGCCAGATATTTGCAATGTTGCAAGGATTCTGGGTGCGGCCAACTTGGTTATATTGGATCCAATGGTGCCCATAAACCCTGCTTGCACAGGAGCCAATGGTGGTGGTTCTTACATGTGTTTTTCCAAATGCGCGGAAGAACAGGCCATGATTGCTTTCATGATGGGTAAACATTTGAAAGATCATTTCGTACTACAGCTTTGAAGAAAGACATTCGAAGGATGACCGAATGATGCAACTCACAAGTCTTGCTAGGGGGGTTATTAATCCTGGGGGACCACCTTTTTTTAAATTACATTTTTTTTGGGCAGAGGGGGTTGATTAATACCGCGGGGATTATTAATCCTAACTTGACATTATTATGTTTGTATTTTTCACACTGGTGAGACCAAAACACAGATGTTTCACACCATGGCAATTTTTCTTTCGCTGCCTTGAGCATCCTTGACAACTGCGAAAGAAATGACTTGGTAAACCCAAGAATAGAATCCATCCAAACCATCCCCAATTTTGCCGGAAATGGGTATTATATAACCATCGAAAATCGCGGGTTTACTCTTGGGTTTACCACATTGAGGGAATATACATACTATATATACAACGTCGTTAGCCTGGTTTACTGCTTCAAAAAAAAACTGTTGTTTGTGTGGCCAGGGACTGAGATAATCTGTGAACTAAAGTGGTCAATACCTAGAGAAAGCCCTGTTGACCTGGCTTATACACCCTCATTCATACATATTTATTGGCTGTATTAAACACTATTTACAATTTTTACAATTTACATTTTGGTTATACCCTGTCACCGACCATGAGTTTTGAGTATCCTAATTTCACTTGGATCATTGTTTGAATGGTTTCTCCTCCTTAAGTGTGTGTTTGTCCCATATACAGTATAATAGACATCTCAAGTGTTGCTGCACTTACCGACATGGAACTGAACTTTAGTTGGATCATCCACACAATTATATACTGTAATTACAATTTGAGTCGTGGTTGTGATACTCCCATTCTCCATTCTTGCTGGTCACAATTTCACCAATGTTAGATAAGATCACTTCTTTCAGTCCAACTCCGATTTTCTTCATTTATACATACGTATTCATATATATACACCACTTTCCCATCATTGATTAGGATGATTTGAGAAGCTTGAGAAGAAAGTTACATCAAACCATGGTCTTTATCCCAAACAGTCCAGACCAACTATAGGTGTTTCCATGTTTTTCTCTACCAAGATTCTCCAAGTACCCATAAAGATTAGTAACAGTATGTTACACCAATGTTGTCATCAAGGTTAATCAGGGTTTAGGCACATCAGGGTTTAGAAAAACTATATACCCCATAGTAGTATTATATGGTACTTTTGAGTATTATCGATCATAGATAGGGTTAATGAGGCTCTATATATATATAGTTTTTCCCCAAAATCCAGACACAGTATGGGCTCTTCAGTTTGTTTCGTCTATATAAACATATATCATATAGCAGGATATCCGTACATTATATATATACAGTAATATATATATATATGTATATATATATATATACATATCTATCTATCTATCTATATATATATACGTATATATATATACAGGTTGGATATCCATGTTTTATCCTCAAAATACATGCGTTTTTTTTTCCCCAAGCGCGGACGACCTTCTTCGGAATTTCCGCGGTGCTTCTTAGGTGGCCACGCCGTGGAACTCTGAGCACGTCAGGGTGAAAACATGCTGGGATTTCTTTAGATATATGTATATATAGAAAGATAAGTGTATATATATATATAAAGATATTACTGTATATATTTCTTAAGTAATATAAGTTGTCCCAGAAAGTCAGCTACACTTCCCTAAGCCTAACACTATGTCACTATGCATTGGTTTTGCCCCAAGGCAAAGATCATACTTAGACTTGGCAATTTTGTTAGTGGGAGACAGTCTGCATCCTTCCAGCAGAGGGTTTGCTTGACACTGCATTGACTGCATTTGTGTTCTTAAAAATTTAATATTGTACAATCCAGGTTTATTCTCACATCTGCCCATCATGTTTTATGAACCAGCCCCTCTTTACATGATTCTCGGAGAACCATTGATCTCATTGACAGTGACAAGCTGGTGTTTTTGTGTGATTGAGTATTGTGTAATTTATATCTATTGAGTATTCGTGTGATTGAGTTGATGCTCTATGTATGGTAATGTATGGTATATGTTGGTTATTTTGGGAGTACACGTTGATACATATATTCCATCATATTCCGTACATGGAGCACATGGATAGTGACGACTGGAATGTGCATCAACCTCAATCCTGACTGAGAAAGTAGCTGACCCGGGTGGATAGCTCAGACGCCACCGGCATACTCGTGGGTGAGCTGGGCCTCAACGGGGGGCCATGTACAGCATGTCAGACACGAAGATCTGGCAGATGATTTTGTCGGGTTGGCAGCTTAAGACCGATGGAACAAGGCATATCCAACGCATATCCAAGGCATACGAGGTTGTAATCCAGCTAATGATGCACTATGACAATAGCAGGTTTGCAATTTGATTTGCACATCATTAATTATTCCAAAGAGGTGTGCTGCAGCTTCTTGTAGTTTGTTGTCATGTGATTATGTTGTCATCAAGCAGTTCAATCCTCAGGAAGTTTTCTTGACTGCTTGACCACCTTGAATTTTTGCATGTTTTTTTTAATACAAGAACAAAAACCATCTTGCACCCCATGTCATGGAACCCAGCCTAGTTTTCAGAGCTCTGATCCCGAAGAACAGAGACGACAGCTGTTCAACCTGCTCATCTCCTGATAGTATTGAGCAGCTTCAGCCCACAAACTGAAAAACTTAGAGGGCGATCCAGGAAAATGTCGCAGGTTTCTTTGTCATGCAAACACGAGTGAATGTCATGTAAATTGTTATGTCTATATAATTCTACGTTCAGATTATTATATTGTCATGCTAATATGCATTCGGGTACATACGGCAACGACATTTAAATATGTGGAGGGCGGGCGAAACCGTGAGGCCCCGGAGTTAGTAACACCAGTTCCATCCATGAATTTAAATGTCTGTGTAAACAAATTGCATTCCCTATGTCTAAATGGCCGGGCGGGCCAAGGAAAACATTCCCAGAGGTAGTCTAAAATACAATTTCGTATATTTAAAATTCCGTATATTATATATATATATTTACATGATTTTAAACATAGTTATCGTACAATATTATACAGAAGAGTATTTATAATAACATTATACACATACTATATATCATACTATCATATAATAAACCACGTCTTTTTGTGTCAGCCAATTTTCGAAGTGCCCTTGCAACGGGCTTGTGGGGCGTTCCTCGAAATCAGTGACGTGGATTTTCTGCTAGACCTAGTCGTGGTAAACCCAATAATAAACCATTCCAGTACATATAGTACATCCCAGACAGGGATATACCCCATATAATAAACCAAAATTGGGGATGGCGTATTATTGGGTTTGCCACCTTTACCAAGAATCCTCTCATGACAGGATCCTTGTGGCCATTTTGCGCCTCGCACAGATTTCGTTCTGAAGTCAGATGGATTTTTATTTCTTTTGGTTGATTCCCCACTTGCGCCCTACGTTTGGTGTTTGTAGTAAATCATTGTGAAACCCTTTTTTCAATCATTTTTCCTGGTCAAGTTCATCAAAATCCCTAGGTGTGGTATCAGATTGCATGTGGAAGTCCATCCCCACATGGGCAGAAATGGACTCTCTTGTAGTCTAACCTGGCAATGGAAACTCTCCCATGAAAAAGTAGTAGATGATTGAGGCTCAAAAAATGTTATGTTCCCTTTTTGCAAGGATTTTGGGCTTGTTGCTGGCTTCCGAGACTTGTTCTGTTCCACTGACTTTGGCAGCGGCCCCCGTATTCAGGTGGTTCGGCGCCTGGCGGATGTGGGGCCAAAGCTGTTTCCTGGCGACTTGTGGTTCGGTCACCCTTTTGGAGGTGTAACATAAACCAGCAGATTGTCACTATAGAAACCAGCTTTTGGCCCGAAAGATACTTCTATACATATATATATATATATATATATTAAATATATATATAATATATTAAATATATATATATATATAATCTACTCCACTCACATAGAATATGCGTTTTTCCAATTCTGCAGTTGAACTCGAACGCAACTCCACATAGAATATGCCCCCATTTCGTGCTCATTTGTTTTCTCCCCATTTGGCCTTCGCTCTGGAAGCCTTTGTACATCTCTATGCCGCCTGTTTCTGCTTTTTTTTCAAGCAGTTTTCACATACTAATTCAGTTCTCATGTCAGCTGCGCGGCCACCCAGGCAATCCTTGTATAGGTGGACCTGGTGCGAGCTTTAACCCAAAACCAAGACTGACAAAAATCAAAAACTGGCAGGGTCCCCAAATTGACCGATTTCTTATCACTTTGTGTACTAAAAAGTACATTTTTTTCCTACCGCAAAGGGTACACCCCACGAATGGTGGAGATCCATGGGAAATGGTCTGGATTGGGCAAGTGCTGATTCAATCCATTTTGGGAAACTAGGTTGCAAACATGAAAGAATTTGTATGTAAATAAATTGGAAAAGTGAAGAAATTGTATGGAAATGTGAAGGATTTATAGAGAAAATGAAGAAACACATATGGAAAAAGTGAAGAATTTGACTGAAAAGGAAAAATAATTTATATGGAAAAGAATCTGTATGGCAAAATATGGTAAATTGAAGAACTTGTATAGAAACGTGCAGAATTGTTATAGGAAAGTGGAGAATTTATATGGAAAAATCATGAATTTGTCTGGAAACATGAAAGAAGTTATATGGAAAAAATATGGAAAAGTGAAGAATTTGTATAGAAATGTGAAGGATTTATTAAGAAATATATATATATGGAAAAATGATGAATTTTACTGAACAAGAGAAAGAATTTGTATGGCAAAAATATGGAAAAGTGAAAAATTTGTATGGAAACGTGAAAGATTTATAAAGAAAAGTGAAGAATTTCTATGGAAAAATGACGAATTCGTCTGGAAAAGTGAAAGAATTTATATGGCCAACGATATTCTAAGTATAGGTTTTTTGACGTCAACTGTATTCTAAGTATCCTGTTTCAAGTTCAATTATGGGGATGCCCTGGGAAGCCAAAATTTCAATTCCATATTCTATGTGTGTGGAGTATATTATATATATACACATAGATATAAATAGTAGATATCTATTTAACCCAATTCTAACCTATATAAATGCATCTTTGTGCCTTTATTCTTATTTTATACTATTTATATCTATTTATCGATACTTTCTATAGTCATCATTCTTCCTCGGTGAATTCAGTATGGGTTTGGACCTACATGTCTTCAAATCTCCGAGCGCATGTGAGCGCTTGATGTTGAATTGATTTGCCTAAAAACTACCGAAATCCCATAGAATTATTTGAAATAGTAGTAAAACCATGGGTGAATATGTAAAACCCATGGTTTTATTTGAATGTAAAACCCATGGCGTTCGGATTTTTTTAAATCTTAGTCAAACTCGTTGATTTTGGAATATGTTTCCTCTCCAACCAGGCCATCCTGGTGCTTCCGCCCAGGTTGGTCCAGGCATGAGCCGCGCGCTGCGAGTGGCGAGTCGTTTCACGCGACCAACGACCGATGAAATCGGCCGCTGGAAGATGTGCGACGCTGCCGGGACGGGGGCCGGGACGGGGGTTGCAGCTGATGCATCTAAATAGGCTTGGACATGATATGGGATATATATATATATCGGAAAATATGATTATATACCATTTTGTTGTTGGGAATGCCCTAATTTTCAGACAAACCCAAATGCTATCATTACTATTGTTATTATTATTATTGTCAACCAACAAGGATGGAGAGATTTTCCTGGTAATCACCAGTGACACTGACAGTTGGGTTCAGGTATCAAGGTTTGACCTGCAATCTCTACTTTGGGATGATAGTGCCAGCTGACTCATGTGTTTGGGATAGGTTGAAGCTATGCCATGAGTCATTAATTGGTTGTTAAAGTTTTTCTTTGTTCCTATTCCCATTCAAGTTCAAGTTTTAGGAATCGATAATTTCTATGACCTTTATCATTTCTTCAATAAAGACACCATCGATGATGAATGGTTGGCCATGAATGCATGACTCGGTAAACATGGCTTCGCTCCTCGTCAAATGGGCCTCTGATCTAAGCTCCACGAATCAAACAACGACGCAGCCATGTAGTTGCTCTGCAAAATCTTGCGCTTTTTCGTGTGTCTGATGCTTTCCAAGATCTTGAAATTTGAATGGAACTTAGATTTAGATGGAACTTAATTTCCAAGATAAATGGACAGTTGAAATTGAGCTTGAATGAACTTTGTCAGTCAACTCGAAGCTCTCCAACTACCGCAGACTGTTAGTAACTGTTAGTATATCATATTCTCTCAACAATGATCTCATTCAGCAGAATCTTATTCCACAATATTTTCTTCCCCCCTTTTTTGGTTTCCCGGCCCGGCATCCTCCGTGGGCATCCAGCAGCAGCCGTGCACAATTTCTTCATCCCATGGACCGAGACCATGGTGCGAACGGAAGTCTTTCTGCATGATCCGCCATCGATGGATGAGTTGCCCACCAGCCAGGTGCCGGGCGATTGTTGTGGGCGTTGTGCGGGGTGCGGGTGGAAGTTGGTTACCCTCTGGTTATGTCAACAGTTTGCTATTGAAAATGGCTATTTATAGTGGAATTTCCCATTAAAAATGGTGATTTTCCATACTTATGTTAGTTTACCAGAGGGTAATCCTTGGGTAAGGAATATATGTGTATATCAAGACAAGTATATGTAGATAGATGTAGTGACCGCACCTCACACCAAGCGAAAAAAACACATACGATGGCTGGATATGTCAGTTCATGTAGTAAATCACCCCACATTAATTAATGATTAATGATTAATGGCAGGTTGGTGGTTTGTTTGTTTTATTATTATTATTATTATTTTATCCCATATATTGGGAATTTCATCATCCCAGCTGATGTTCATATTTTTCAGAGGGGTAGGTATACCACCAACCAGTGATTAATGGTGATTACCTAGTTGATTTACCCATTAAAAAATGGTGATTTTCCATAGTTATGTTAGTTTACCAGAGGGTAATGATGATGAATGGTGATGAATTATTGACCGATCATTTTACCCTTCATGAATCAACATTCATTACTGTCATTCACCATCATCGACCATCATGTATCATCACTAAGCCTCAGCCTCATGAACCACTATTAACATCTATTAACCACCATTAACCGTCATTAGCAATTATTAACAATCATTAAGTATCATTAACTATCACTAACCATTATTAACCATCATTAACCATCATTAATACCTACTCATTGTCAATTTCTTGGTTAATACCATTATTAACCATTATTAACCATTATTAACTATTATTAACTATTATTAACCATTATAAACCATTATTAACCATCATTAACCATCATTGACCATCATTAACCATCATTAGCTACTATATAGTTCGTTCTTAAATCACCATCCCATTGTCAGCCTGCCACAGATTTTGCCCGTGATGCTGGTGGCCTCGCTGAGCCTGGTGCTGCTGCGGGCGGCGGTCTTGACATATCAGCTGTTCACGGAGATGGACGACACAGGCCGAGGGAGAGGGGGGAAGGGGAGAATGGTATCAATTGGAATAATTATACATATGTATATATATATACATAAAATTATACATATATGTATATATATATATATTATGGATATCTATCTATATATCTAAGATGAGTCTATCTATCTTGTCTTGTCTTGTCTTGTTTTGTCTCATTTTATCTCATTTTATCTCACCTCACCTCACCTCACCTCACCTCACCTCACCTCATCTCATCTCATCTCATCTCATCTCATCTATCTATCTATGGATATACATATATATGTTTGGCAATCAGATTGTTGATGCTTATATTGCAGCTACCAAGATTATCAAGGTGAAATAACATATAATTATATATATAGAAATGATACTTAGGTGACTGTGTTCTTCTTGTAATCAATGGGCATGTATTGGAAATGACATGGGCAACAATATACCTTTTTTTTGATATATAATTGTGAGATCAATAGTAGTGGTAGTAGGCAACGGGATTTACAGGCGGGAATGATAATCAATGGGATGTATCGATTTTTGCAAGTATAATATGTATACCTAAAGCTGTTATATTTAGCACTGGGATCATTACTGTGATGATTGTATCAAAGGCGGAAATGGTTTTATTGTAATCATTATGACTACTAATTAACGTTGATGGATTACTAATCCTTCAATCATGAGTAAGATTTATGTTGTCTGACAGAGGTGTATCGGTTGCGATTGAATCAGAATCTGGGCTAGCAGGAGTTGGATATCCCACCAAGAACAAGACGACAATACTACCCTCTGGTTATGACTAACATAGCCATGGTATAGATGGCCCATAGAAATAGTTGGTTTACCGTTTTTAAAAATGGTGATTTTCTATGGCAAACTGTTGAATAACCAAATGGTCTTCCACATTTCTGTGTTGGTGTCCCCTTTGTTGGTGGAATCTTCTGCATTCTTCGCATTTCCCAACGAATAGTTCGACCCTTTGAATAGCTGATGTTTGTTGAAAGTAGTACCCTCTGGTAAATAAACATAGACCCTGAAAATGACCAATTTTTAGTGGAAACTAATCTTCCAACCCCGATGACTACCAGGGTCTATGTTAATTTACTGGAGGGTACTCCAACCCCCAAGTCATGGCAGGGTCTATGCTAGTTGGAGTAAAAACGGTATATGTTCTGCGGAATTCTACCGGGGTCTCTGAGGTTTTGGACAGCCCCTCAAAGGGGGTGGAGTAGTGCTTTGTAACTGAGAGGCTCAAAAGGCCATGTTTATAGATCGAAAAAGACGGTGGTGTTGTGTTTTCTCACTTACATTCATAGATGTTCATTTACACAAATATGTGTACATATATATATATATATATATTGATGTTTAAGCTTGGGTGGTTGCACGTCCCCCAGAAGCCTTTGTTGCCTTTGCCTCTCAGGTGAACCCAGTGGCAAAAGCATCCCCAGGGGTGTGCCTTTTTTCGTTGCTGCATTGGCCACTCGGATCGACGACTGGGACCCAGTGGTGACAACTCAGAAATCCCACCATTCCCAGTTGTTTTGTTCATATTTAGATGGAAAAAACTTAGTTTTGTTGACATTTCTTGGCAACTTCTACTGGAACATCAACTCTTTGATTTTCGAGCATGGGTTCTATAGTTATTTGACATGTTTTTTTTGCCTCAAATTTGCAGCGCATCTGAATGATTATTCCACCATTTTTTGTGCAACAAAGGTCTCACTCAGAGCAATCACCACTTTCTAAATGATTAGCCTCCTACAGTTATGGCCATTTTTTAGTTATAACTGGTTATAAATGGGATTATACACTCTATAAATGGGGTTATAAGTACTTATAACTGGTAAATGGCCATAACTGTATAAACTGACATAGATATGAGGAAAACTGAGGAAAACCCATCATTTGTAGATCGTTTTCCAAGGGACACCATGGTTTTTTTCCACATTTTGGAGCTGGTTTCCCATAGGGCCACCAAGCTCATGTGGTTTCCCATAGTCGGACCTAGTGGCTGGGGGTGCTGTGACTATGCCCTTGCGATGTTTCAGGGAAATCGGAGATCAGTTGGCCTTGGACTGACCATAGTTAATGATTACCCTCTGGTAAATAAACTTGTGGACCCTGGAAATCACCAATTTTTAGAGGAAACTAATCTTCCAACCCCTATCTACCAGGGTCTATGTTAATTATGTTAATTTACTGAAGGGTAAGTGAATAGTAAATAGCTGAAATCACTACAGCTAACTGGTTGTTTGTTGACACAACCATAACAGCAACAACGGCAACAACAACGAGATGAACACCATCAGCAACAGCAACAAGAGCAACAATTCCTCCTCCTCCTCCTCATCATCATCACCATCATCATCATCATCATCACCATCATCATCAACACCATCATCATCAACATCAACAACAACAACAGCAACAACAACAATAACAATAACAGCAACAACAATAACAGCAACAACAATAACAGCAACAACAATAACAGCAACAACAATAACAATCAGAATAACAAGAACACCAAGAAGACCAAATACAGCACCCCTGAGGCCAACGTCCTCATCAGGAGACTCGGCCAACTCTTGGGGTTTCTTCGAGTACCTTCCGGTGTCACCAGACATAGCACTGGGAACTTCCCTTGCGAATAGAGGTAGTAGGTACAAGTAATTAACCAGAGGTATGCCTCAGAAGTTCCTGTTAAGTTTAGTCTTGTTCATTTTGGGTCCCATAGTATTTGGGTATCTAGTTTGTTTTGAGAGGACTAGGCCGTGGGTTAATATCCAAGACCTGAAGGTATGGATGTTAAACCTCCTCGCGAAGAAAGGTCTGTGTAAAGTTGATTTACCCTCTGGTAAACTAACATAGCTATTGAACATGGCCATTTATAGTTGATTTACCCATTGAAAATGGTAATTTTCCATAGTTATGTTAGTTTACCAGAGGGTAAGAAAACAACATTTTGCCTGAATAAATTTGTCTAATTTGTTTTTATTGTTCAAATATGTTCAAATTAGTTTGGGTCAAACTTGGGTATCCAAACATCAGATGATTCACTACTAACCACGTGGTTGGAGGTTGGTATTTCTGTTCCCTAAACACTCGGCCTTGCACTTGTTGCGCCCATGTACATTGAACCTAATGGGTATGGGTCAAAACAGGTCAACACTATCAACCCCCCAAAATTGCCAATTCGGTACCCAAGTTTGACCCATTTCCAGATAGTTTTGAGTTTTCGCCAGAACAAAAGTGGCAAACATGGCAGGACACTTCCAGAATTGTATTAACGTAATTTTCTCGACTTGACATTCAATGCCCAGAATCCATTGTTTCCGGGATTTTTTTCCCAAAACAAAACATAAATCCAGGTCTGAAAATGCAGGGGAAACCCAAAAAAACATTGCTTAATAATCCTATAGTTTCTCATCATTTTTCCTCTCAAAATGGCTACGTCTTAGGGGTGAATCCTCCATTTCCCCGAGAAAAAATCTGAATCAACCGAGGCTCGGAAGCGCAACGGGTCATGGTTTGCTGGCGATCAACTGGGTCTTAGCAGGCGGGGTCAATGTGATGATCTAGGATTACGACTGGGAGGTTGATCTTAATGGATTGTTTTTTACAGGAAAATCTACAGGAAACCATCGATTTTCCCATTAAATAGTAGCGGTTTTCCTGTAAATTTTCCCTTAAACCAATCCATTGAGTTGAGGGATATCAATATCCCCCAGGTCCAAAAACAAGCATGGTGTCTTACTTACGAAAATACAGGGGGGTTGGGCAAACAAAACAGAGATGTAAAGCGTATATGCAAAGGTGCTACTGTACATGGTAATAAATAATATCATTCTTGCGTATATGTACAGTTCAACACGTGCAATGTTAACCAAGACTGTTGTTCAATAGTGGTGAACGCTGACAAAAGATGATGCTTGAAGAGAAATATGTCAGGAAATCTGCAGCAGTGTTTGCGCGACAGGTGGAAACGTTCAAGGGGCAGTTTATGTACCTGTGCCATATACAGTAGGGATGTATTTGGAGCTACTCTCCAAGTGATCTAGCTTAATTTTCCCCTGCTTGATGAACCACTGATGATTTTGCCAGGCATTGATTTTGGGAGAGCTAGGGGCCAGGGACACGGATACTGAAGTGCTAAGTGAGGAGGTTGCAAGTACTTGTATCTGACAGCGACTTGATGTCCAGCAACAAATGCATATCCGAGTGACGGATTGTGTCCCATTATTGTACTCCACGGGTTCTCCGCAGAATGTCTCCTAAATCAATCAAGTGCACCAATCAGGAAAACCCTCCAGCTTCAGATGATTTTCAGATGGTAAACACATCAACTCCCACTGGTTCCCTGTGCAGGATGGCCCTGCATAAGTTGATTGATCACATTTAATGACAACATATATATATATATGGACATAAATCCCAGTTGGCCTATAATTTTCAGTTACAAACCAAGCTGCCACTGAATGTCTGTGGACCATCTTCCAAGAGCATCCAATCCACATAAGTGCGACAGGAGCAGAGCCGGGAATGCAGCTGGTGGCGTGTTTCGTTTCTCGGACGTGTGAATTGGATTTGCTCATTGACCCAAGAATTGGATGGTTATGTGTTTTTTTCATGGTTTGATATGTTTGATATGTTTTCTAATGATTCAACACATGGTTCATGATGGTTTATGGAATACAAACGTGACTTACTTTGTGCGGATCCAGCAAATACCCTGTTTCATCCCATTTCCAAGTCATCGCCATTGATCTTGAATTGGTCTTTCCACACCTGTCCACAATATTCAAGGCACAGTACCGTACTGGGTAGAACTTGGTTGGGTCAGCTCATGGGCTAATCCGATCTAATCGGCCAATCGTTTGATATAGTTTGCCATGAAATTGACACACCCTCCGATATTGCTAGCTGCTTTCATAGTGTCTATGGATATCTAAGATTGGGCATTTCACCACACATCCTCGGCATTTTGGCTCCGGGATTTCCAGGTACTTGTGACAATCAATACCCACATGTGCCTTGGGCGGGGAGAGTTTGGGATGAGCCCCAGACATCCCAGGGCTCGCTGGGGTTGGCCCAGAAATGCCGTGGCAGCCATGGATCACAAACTCGAAAGATCATGAAATATTATGAGAATCCATGCCATTGGTGTTTTTGTCTCTGTTTATTCTAAATGTTATTTTAGTTATTTTGCATTTCGCTGAAGTCGTATGGATTTATTCAGTATAGAAGCCACCATTTGCTTGTTCGGACCATAAAGGCATCATTTGCACAAATGTTGAGGAAAAACATATCTCACATGCTCCATTTCGGTGTTTTCAACCAAGAGTAACCAAGATCTGCAAGATCCCCCGAAATGCAGCGAACTCCCATCGCAAACCTGCCCCTCGTTTGACACGGAACTTCAAACGTTAATGGTTTGTCCACTGCGATGATTACTGGATGGTCCAACTGTTGACTTCCATGTTTTTTCTTCGGTGTGGTTACCCTCCGGTGTCATCAAACGTGGCGTGCCGGAGAATCTCTCATTTATCATACATGTATAGATGATCTCCCCACAAATAAAAACATAAAATAAACACCTCCATTTATAACTCATATTAACTCATTTAGTTTGGGGATTTCCCAGCTAGCCATGTTTGATGTCACCGAAAATTCAAAGTTCGAAGAATCAGCTCCGTTCCAGGCTCTCGTCGGTGGCGCTGGTCGTGCATCTGCGGTCCTTGTTGGCTGCAGTGGCCATTTGCCACCAGAGCCGTGTGAAATTTCAAGGTGCAAAGGGCGGTTGCCCGACTGGCGCCATCAAATCAGCCAGATGGTTAGATACAACTTGAGAACAAATTGTGCATTAAAAATGAATACAAAACATAGATGCAGTATCATACAGTATGTCTTACATATTTCAGTCCTCTCGAGAACTATACTTAAATTATTGGTATCTGAACAGGCAAGAATATATAATATAATATATATATATATATTATAGATTAGATGAATCTTTTCTCATCCAATCCACCCACAAGATCCTCCAGGCATTTCGCACTTGTGGGGCGCCCCCGCGGGCATCGCCTGTCTGGCTCTGAACGGCATCTCCACAGCGATCCTCCTGGCGCATCTCTACGAACGCCCTGAGCGCATCGTCACGTGGTTGGTGCCCCGGTGGCGCCGTGATGGGATGCCACAACAACGTGTGAAAACATGGCCGTTGAATCCCATGGTTAGAGGCAAAATATAATCTTAAATACCTCATGAATACATCAAACAAAAATATGTGATCATCAAAAGCGAGGAATGCAGATTTAGAGCTATTTGATGATGTTTGCGTCTAGTTTACAGAGGTATTTGCCTCTGTTTGGTAGCAAACATCACCATTATTAGAGGTAAATTCTGTGTACAGAAGGGCCATTGAGGTGAATGCCTTAGATTCCTTAGATCTCTGGTGTCACATATGTGCGGCTGGAAATATCCACATTGATTACCCCAAGATTTCACTGAATTTGTATTGAATTTGTCTTATTTCTACCCAGGATGTGACCCTTCTTCAGAGATCCCAGGGATCCCAGGCTATCTCGAGAGAATTTTTGTGACCAAAAATCCAGCTGTGGGGTTACATTTTCTTCTTATTGACCAATAACTATGAAGGTTTCAGTGAAGCAGTTTCAATTAGTTGTTTGATGTTTGTTTGTTTTCGTATTACCCTCTGGTAAGCTAACATAACTATAGAAAATCACCATTTATAGTGAAGTTTCCCATTAAAAATTGTGATTTTCCATTGTTTTTTGTATGTTTACCAGAGGGTATAAGATATTGGTGATGATCATAGTCCGGTAGCTGGGACTCCGCACCAACCATTTTAACTTTGGAATGTTCCAACCGCTTCTTAAGCATCCACTATTGAGGATCTACTTTTGTGGAGGGTTGGTTGAACTACGATATGAACACTCATGTTTTGTCCATTCATTGTAGATGAGTCTCCCCAAAGAGGCCAAACATCCATTAAACATCCAGTATGATTATGTAGCAATTCCCCATTCTGAATGGTGAAATCCAATTTTGAAAGGTTACATTTCATGTATCTTAGGTCCCTTGGCCCCCACATTGAGAGATCAGCTGACAAAAACCCTGAGGCCACTGCGGCTGGATTTTTGCTTTGGGCCAACAGCACCTTGGAAGTGGCAGTGACCTCCCAATTTTCTTCATGAATTCCCCTCTCAAGGGATTTCTTTTCAGGAACAGATTGGATGAATTTATATGAATTTCAAGAATGTCGTCTTGCACATGGTGAGTTCATTGGATGTTTGCTTGCCGTGTGTGTTTGCTGGAGGGTATATACATGTATATATATATACTCAGTGTTCCCGATATTTTTCGAAAACCATATGGCAGAAGCACCCCGAAGCGCGTCGAAGCCCCATCAATGATGATGTGAAATTGGAGGAACCAGGAGAACCAGGGGCCAGGGTTTGAAATTCGAACAGCTATGACATCGGATTGACTTATCCGAGAACTAGAGGATACATATGAATATTATATATATATATTTACACACGCAGGATACAAATATAGATAGACAAACAGACAGACAGACAACTTGATAGCTAGAGAGATAGTTTGATAGGTAATAGGTAGATAGTAGATAGGCAATTAGGTAGATACGTAGCAAAGTAGATAGATACTACTGAGCAAACGCAAGCTATCTGTACACATATTTGTTGCAAATTTGGAGATCACCATCAACACAACTAAAACTTATTGGGATGTGCCGGCCCTAATTACTTACTTTGGAAGTGGATGTAAGTGCAATGAGTATAGGGGTTCTAGCATCTTAGAACTGGCATACTTCGAGATAGCTACGTATAGCTACGAACAGTAGGCACCTTTTTCTTCAAAGATCATTTCAGGAAAACCACGAAGTCCAACCTGACAGGTGCCCCCAACTCTTGCTGATGGTTGTTTTTTTGTGCAACAGGTTGCAAGTTGGTGGTGTATTAGTTTCATGATGTTTCATGGTAAAGGTATCTTTGGTCAAATGTATCATCCAAGAATTCAAGGTGCGTTCGAATGAATACGCCAATGTAATGGTCTGATTTCATCACTCAGAATGAAAATCCAAATCGATGATGCCAGTTTATCCAGCTGTATAGACCAATCTACTAGTTGTTGCAATCTATATTATACAATGGTTGGAATTGATTGTCTGATTGTCTTGAAATATTTACCACCATATTACCACCATATTACCACTCACTTACCACTATCAAGCCGCCATTTTTGTTGGTTACATCCTTTTTGTTTGCTGCAAACACCCTGCCTCGTCTCCATCTGAGGTAGTTTCCGGTCGGTCGGTTTGATGGATGGACAGACTTGGAAGGTGCCAAAGGGGCGTTTCAGATGGCTTTGAGTGGATGTTCGATAACAGATAGATTTTGTTTGTTTCAGTATTCAGTATCCATACATCCAGATGTTGAGGTCCAGAATTTCACCCCATATGACTCGAGTCTCCTCGTGATGCAAAGCATTGGCGATTCTTCGCTGAACATTGGGGCGCCCAGCTGATGGATATCCCACTGATTTCACTGATTTAAATATGTACCCATCATTTTTTCCCATTCTAACGGCACATACAACAGGCTAGATAGTACAGTATATATATATAGTATGGACTTGTCTATCTTTCAAGTCTTGTCCCCATCATTTTTTCCCCATGCTGTTTATCTTGTTTCCACAAGACTTGAAAGATGTGTCCTATCAATACAACAGCATTGGCCATTTGCATCATTTACCCCATCCGGGGCTGATCGCGGATTGTCGTAAGGGGGATCACCCCAATCTCGTGTTTGATGTCTTCGGTTGTTTGTTAGTGTTCGTTAGTGAATGATAGTTTTAAACAACACGTATTTGAATGGTTTTGGATTCATGGGTGCACTCTATTCATAACATTTGTATGCGCTGAACACTTCATCATCACACCCGTTTGTTCTGCAGGTCTCGGTTCTCCCATTTTAAGAGAAATGCTGCGTGGTTTCTTATTATTACGTGTATATCTGGGTAAACTATGTTGCGACCTCACTGTTCTCCCTCACTGGAATCATGGTTAATAAGGGAAACATCCCCATGTGAGGCCTTAATTCAGGTTAGTGAAATATTAGAATTTACCCAAATTTATGATTACTAGGAAGTCCAATATATCATATTATATCAACATTGGAAGCCCAGTTACGAGAATATGAATTACTGACTGAATGAATCTCTCACATTACAATTATTACTTAAAGTCCACATCAATCCTGCTATATCCCCATATTATGGTTGGTTGTTTCATCGCCCTATTTTTTCCAGCCAAAAACACTTTCATTATCAATCAGTATCATCCCATATTATGGTTGTTTCATACTCAATCCCGTGATAACAGCCAGACAAATACTTTCTTATATCACTTGTGAGTTTATGACTATGATTTCATGATAATTCATGATCAATGTTCCCATATCAATTCCATATAATATATGGTTTCTATAGAAAACTCTGGAAACATATGGTTTAAGTATTATATGGTACTCCATAATATTAGTTTTTTTTTATATAAACAATATATTATATGGTTTCATTACAATTCAATATCATCCCATTCAACTCTGTTGCCGCCTGGGCTGGGAACTTTTGGGAACCTTTCACCGCTCCAGGAGATCTCTGAATCAGAGCTGGACGACTCTGCAATCTCTGTCAGCGACTTTATGAGGTGCACTGAAAAAGAAAAAAAGGCTGGTGGTTGGGAGATGTTGGGACTTTAGCTAGAAATCATGGATATATATATATATATAATGATATATATATATAATGATATATGAATATATATATATATATAATGGGGATCATGGCATATCATGGGGAGTTTCACCTACCTTTGGTGATGATTCTGTCTATTTTTCGCCAAACAAAGCGGATTCTATCTACGTTCGAGTAGGACTGACAAAGGCGCCTTTCTCAGTGCCAGGAGTCTTGGAATCCGCCTCGATGATGAAGCCGATCGTGCAACGGCCGCACCGTTTTGGTTGCAGATCTTGCGCTTCAACTTCAAACATGACGGGGCTGGGGGCTGGGGCGCAGCGTTGGATGATGTTGGATGAAGGGAATGGCCAAAACTGGGAGGAATCATGACAAGCATGGGGCTGTGTCTGAAAATGGGGGATAAAAAAAACTCTCCAAATGGCCATTTCATAGACCCTTGGATATGTTGGGGTACCCTCTGGTAAACTAACATAGCTATTGAAAATGGCCATTTATAGTGGATTTACCCATTAAAAATGGTGATTTTCCATAGTTACGTTAGTTTACCAGAGGATACCTGATTTTGAGACAAATCCATATTGATCTGTGGGTGAACCCCAGTCTTGTAGCTTAATGGCTGCTCGTTTGCCATAAATATGGTTTAAATAGACCAGCAGAACACAGCATTTTGTTACCGGGTATCTTGGATTAACGATGAGCAATAGGAGTTGGATCTGACTTTTTAACACAGTATGCATACTAGAAAATGGACAGCGCGGTAGCGGGTAGTTTTAGAAGACGATTCCTCAAAGACGCCAGAAAGCCATGTATGGTTTTGGCCGGGGTGGAAACTATCAAACATTATCAAACAGTGCTGGTGATATGAGTATAACAAGCTTAATTTGGTCACTTATTGGGATGAAATTCGGATCCAGGGATTGGATGGACATGTGTTCCAAGATGTTCCAAGTAACTTTGGAATGGTTCAAGATTATTGTCTCATATTGTCTCCCAAACTTGGACGGTTTTTGATCTAACAGTGTTCCAAAAGTTACTGAACCCGAGTTGCGATGTTTTGAGCCAAATTCAGGTAGCCAACATGGAGGCATTGTGATGCATTGTGGTAGACAAAGGCCATATTTCTGTCTTGATTCATATGTCTGCACCAAAAATGGCCACCTCCAAGTGCAGTCATCCCAGGTCTTAAAAGGCACCTAAACGGTAGCCATCCAATGAGAAGGCTATGGCCAAATTGGATGGTACCCCAAAATTGGATGGTCACAAAAGGATGGGAAAATTGTGCTAGCAATTGGTCGGATTTCTGCTAGCAATCCATGAAATTCGTATGTGGATTTGCGGAAAAAGGCATCCGTATGTTGATATGAGAAATCCCAAGTCCTGCGTTGAGATCCATGGATGTTGCCTAATATATCATATGCTATCATGTGCTCATGATCCATGATATCCCCATCGTCAATAAATCGAAACTATTTCAGACTCATGGTGTGAATTGTTCAATCTCTAAGTGTGTTGTTGGTTCATCTCACCCCTTACAATGGAAAATCATGGAAAATCTACATTATATATATAATATTCTAAAGAAATATATATATATATAATATTACATTTATATAAGTAAATAATCTATAATTCATCTGTAAATTGGCCATGTTCCGTAAGAGCTATAATTAGATGATTAGAGACCTTTTCATATATGTTTTATGTATAGGGGAATTATGTATTATTATATGTTTATCAAAAAGCAAAGAAAACTTTAGTAGATAATCTAAATGTTATACATATTTGTAACATAGTAATTACGTAGTTGAACATATATGTATCAACTACATCTTTACTAACTATAGTTTACTATCGTTAAATTATCAATGGGTCACCTGCAGGACGACGAACTTCTCCTCCGGCATCGGCAAGCCTTGCTTCGGCGTGCGTATCCTGCATCGCCACGCTTGCGCATCGTCCCCGGGACGATGGCGTGGATGGCCAGTGGATGGCGCGATGGGATCCCCTGCAGATGTTGCTTTTTAGTGAAGATAAGAATGAATTTGACATGATTTAATAGGATAATCAGCAAATACTAGGATTGATTTATTGATAAGAATGATATTTAAACTGAATTTATTGTGAATTTCAGCAAAAATAGGGGAGTGAATCGCAAAGTAATTTGATAGTTGACTTGCAAAAAGGGTGGAATGAATCAACACAGGAGAAGGATTCAACCATCAGCGAAAAGGGGGTTCACTCCCAACATGTAGATTACCTAGGGAAACAAGCATCATTGTCAGATTTCTGTCGGAACCAAACATAGAACACGTTCGAACATGTTTTCCAAAAAAATGAGGACTATTTTCAAGAACACTAATGTTATCCTCTTTGATATATCCAAGGTTGGTTTGTACTTGGATCATACCACTTAGTCATTGGTTAACCATGCTTAGAAAGTCCAGCGGAATCATCCAAGGTGGTGCCCCAGTTTGTTAGCTAAGTTGGTGAACATAACTCCAATAACTATGGTTTATGGTAGATATATCTATACTATTCTATACTTACTATGGTTTATAAACCAACTTAGCTATCTAGGGGATACCACATTGTAAGGATGATCCTCCAAGGCCCACGGTGCCACTGTGCTGTTGCTGGCACTTCTCAGCACCGCTGTCCCTGCGCTTTTGGTGGCGCACTGCCTGTCCCGCGTGCCCTTGCTGCGCGACGTGGAACTGGTGGGCGGCGTATATTTTCCCAGCGCCCTGGCTGACAGGGGGAAACCGGCCGGCGGGGGCACCAGCTAAATGATCAGGGATTGAGCCACCAATACATGGCAATATAGTTGATATAACTTGGGAAACTGGTTTTTAGTTCCAGCTAAACAAGGAAGGGCATCTAAGTAAGATTGAGCATGAGTAGGTGAAATACATTGTGGTGAATAGTTGGGATAGTTGGGTATGCGGTATGCGTTCTAAATGTCTTTAGAATCAGCGACTGGACATTTGCGCATAATTTGTTAGCGTAAATAGAGGCGCTTTTCAAGTCTATGTTTCGAATAGGGAGGGTTTGCAAGATTAGCCATGCACACTGGATGGCTGAGTTCAATCATGTTGAGAGATTTTGAGTAGTGAAGCAAGTGAAGCAACTGAACATACAGCTTGCAGCAGGCAGTCTGAGCCCAGTTGCTTCAGTCCAAGGTACTTCCCCCATCTAGATTGACCATTGCACTCAATGGCTAATTGTTGGGACCACGGTAAAAGTGCCTCCGAACAACCCCAGTACCTGATGATAGGTGGAGTGTGTCCCGGCAAGACAGCACCCTACTGGAAGAATCGGCAGAAAAATACCAGCCTCCAACCAAAGAAGTAACCAAAGCTGTGAAACTTGTCACAGCTCTTCGGTCTGAGTCAGTCTGCTGGGTCGGGGGGTCTCAGTTGGCGACCACGGACGTTTTCCGCGAGGGTCGAAGCCAACGACACTGCCAGGTCTGTCCAGTTCAAGGCAGGACTACTACATCGCAATCGAGGATTCTGGCAGCAACGGAACCTGGATTGATGATGGTGGATGGTTGGTAGTTGAACATGATTTTCGTGAACAAACATTGTAAATATGATAAAATAGTATAGAATATAACATCGAATCATACATATGATTTCATAAAATATTATATAATAACATATAATCATTACGACATATGATATATAATGCAACACAATATATCGTATAATATTATGTATTACATTAGTGAAATCATCTGGTTACTATTCTTTCCTGAACCGGACGACTGAAACATGTTGAAACAACCAATCAGATGGGATCAATTGGGTTTTCTCATGATCCACCAAGCCCAGCTCAACAAAACCAGTCGATTCACAGTCACTTAGTTACCCATGTTGGCAAGGAAGCAGCCAATCTGATGTGGTTTTTACGCAATGTTCATGGCAATGAGAATCATTTTCTCGGTGATTTAAAAACTTTCAATATCCCAAGAAAAAACCTAAGATATGGTAAGTCATTGGAACCGGGTTTTTGTTGCCCGCAAATCCACTCCAAAACCTTGGTAATCAAAAGGAGTCATTCTTCATGAGTGTTGCTCACTTATCTCTTTAGATATGTTTAGTATATATATATACTGAAAAGTATGAATTGTATTGAATTGTATGATAGTACTTAGTACTAAATCATATATCATATGTTCAGATCATATGTACTATATAAAATACTATATAAATCATGACTTCACCCATCGCTTCAGGAATCAGCATGACCTTTCAGATGGAATTGGGCGAGGCATCTTTTTATCGTTTCTGCTGCCGAGACGCTGGTTGCTCTGAGATTGAAAGCAACGACACTCAGCGAGTTGACTGGGGGAAGGGAAAGCCAGTTCCAACTATACTTGAAGTGTGTGTCAGTAAAGATGAAAATATGTACGATCAAGCAAACAGACTTCAGATTGGTCACGAACTCAACATTTGAACCGTACTAACTGCTCAATGTTGGCCTACAAGAAAGGTTACACGCTGGTGTGTTTAATAAAGTTCCAAATTGGGTTCCGTTGGCGCAATTGCCAGGCAGTTGCAAAGGGTGATCATAGGGCCACATTCAGTCATCATTTCGATCCACTCCCCTGGGTGAATCATCGTTGGGTACAGTAGTTTAACGCCTTAGATCTTGCTCTAAATGGGGAATATCACAAGATCCACATTTCTAGCAATACCCAATATTATATAAGATTGAGAACAATGGGACATATCATAAGATCCACATTTTATGTACATTTATAGCATAAATGGGGATATCGGGATATCTTCCCATTGTGCTGATCCTATCGGAATTCTGAATCAGTACCTGAGTAGCTGGCTGATCAGGTTGCATCCATCGTGTGGCGGTCACACTTTATAATATATATACTACCCCCTGGTAAATTAACATAGACCCTGAAAATCACCAATCTTTAATGGAAACTAATCTTCCAACCCCTATCTGCCAGGGTCTATGTTAATTTACCAGAGGGTATATACCAGTAATTAAGGTTTAGTAAGATTAGTAGTTTACTACTACCATATTATCATATTGGTAAATAATAACTTTAGTATACTGTGTACTCAGTGTTGAAATATCATATTAGTAAAATTTAGTAAACATGTTACTACCAATGGCCAACGAGTTTGTGTCTCAGGCTTCTCAAAGGTTGGGGCCCAGTCTGTCGAACATTTTGAGCCACAAGCTCACAGTCGTCGTCTTGGGCTGATGGCCAGGTAAGAAAAAATGAGATGCCATGAACTGTAGCCCGAAAGCTGATTCATGATATTGTGGTTGGGTTTCATTCCAGCTTGTTGGTTAAATGTGTTCAACATTGTTGACATGACTTAAGCATTTACTATATTACTTGGTGATCGCTCCTAGCATGTTGTTGCCCATCTTCAATCCCAAACATTCCCAAAGCATCGATTTGCCACTGCCTCCGGAGGATCAGAAGTCACAACTTCGTTTGAAGCTGATGATTGCTCCACAACAGTTTGGCACCTGCCAACTCCAACTGAGAGGTCTACAAAGCGCCTAGCTGATCGCGGAATTGGATCTGACATGATCTGACGAACCATCCACCAACGTCCCAACAAGGGTTAGTGAATTTGGATAGCTTCACATGTTTTTTTCTAGATTTTCATGTTGTAGCTGGAATTTTGATGCTGGGGTTGGAACATTTAGGGATCCAATCATATTCTGATGAGGATGCATTTTAGGGCTATTATGAGGCGCTTGGTTTTTGGTTGTTATTGGAACTTCCAATGGAAATGGGATTGGCTCCCCATGGTATATTCATATCTCGATAGCTTCATTGGTTGCCTCCATTTCGGTGGTTGGGTTTCTCTATGTTTTTGTGTCTTCCCCCCCTCGGAATAAACATACGGAAATACATGGAAATACCTACAGGAAACCACAATTGATTGTTGTTTGCCAACGGGGTTTCCAGGTTGAACAGGCGGTACTGAGATTCTGGTTGCCAGTAAACACTACTTCAAAGAACGTCGATGTCTTTCGCACTGAGAGTTGTCTAACCAACCACAGCTGGGATGTAGAGCCCAAAATGGTGGGTGAAACAGCGGCTGCGTCACCAGCAATTTTAACCATTTTAGCCAGGCTCACGCTTTAGCCAAGCTAGCCAAGCGCTGCTGACTCAGCTCATCTTTGCTCATACTGAGGCAACACCTACAATTTCACAGTGCTATCTTTGAGACACCTTTCCACTGCGATGAATGCTGAATTGGAGGCCCCCTTTGCTCCGTATCGCGCAAAACAGCATGCCTACGACTCCGACTTGGTCAAGCCGGATGGCGTAGAGGAGCTGGTGCTGTCGCCAGGCTGAAGCAATTTGGTCACTGTCATACAGTCGTACACCATCCCCGGGTCATCACCATTTTTATGGTATGTTTACCATCCCCAAGTGCTAGGTTTATTATTGGATATACCACATTGGTCAACATTGGTAATTTGCTTTGGTATGACCAACGTCGTAGTCAGACACTTTTGTACTTTTGGGTTCCCATGGGCTCTCACTGAATGGTTAACAGTTATATATATATATAGATTGATGATTTGGGTTTTGCTGATCCTTTTGGGTCTTGAATTCTGCTGTGGTCTTCAGTTTTCATTTGACTGGGAGAAGGGCACTGAGCGCTGTGTTGGGATGTGTTGGGAGTTGTAATGTTTGTTCATTATGAGCTCCAAAACTGCGTTTGCTTGCAGATTTTGGAGGAGAATTTGAAGGTTTTGAAGTCAATCGTCCGTCCAGATATGTTTCTGTGCCCCCAGAATCGTCTAAGTCTAAGAGCCAAATTTGCCGGTCTACCATCCTTCCAATGGTGTATGATGATAATGTCATTTGGCAAAGGAGCACACCCCATGTAAAGCTATTTCTAGATGATTTTAACATGCAATGTATATATATATATTTATTGAAATTATATATGCTTATACATGGATACATTAGATGAAGGTCTGTATATGACAATTTTTGTATATGTTGATACAATAGATACAAGACATATAATCATATATATATATATACATATATATATATATATCGTCCATTGCCATGTCAGATTCCCTGGACCCCTCACTGAGGACCAGTACGCTCCAGATCGACGCCTCTCGCATCCGGCCCTCCCTGGTGGCGTATGGCCTCCGCGCAACGAGCAACGCGTCCGCGTACGACCTGACGCTGGAGCAGTCCAAGACTTACAGCTCGGTGACGCTCAAGGCGAACATCTCTGAAGCTTGGACTTGAAGTTAGATGGATGATTCTGGATGATGGATGTTAACAACAACAACAACAACAACAACAGCCAACAACAACAACAACAGCAACAACAACAACAACAAACAACAACAAACAACAACAACAACAACAACAACAGCAACAGCAACAGCAACAGCAACAGCAACAGCAACAACAACAACAACAAACAACAACCACAACCACAACAACAATAACAACAAACAACAACCACAACAACAACAACAACAGCAGCAACTCACAACAAACAACAAGCAAAAAACAACAAACAACAAACAACAAACAACAAACAACAAACAACAAACAACAAACAACAACAACAACAGCAACAGCAACAGCAACAGCAACAGCAACAGCAACAGCAACAGCAACAGCACCAGCACCAGCACCAGCACCAGCAGCAGCAGCAGCAGCAACAGCAACAGCAACAGCAACAGTAATAGCAACAAACAACAGACAACAACAACAACAACAAACAACAGACAACAGACAACAGACAACAGACAACAGACAACAGACAACAGACAACAAACAACAACCAACAACCAACAACCAACAACCAACAACCAACAACCAACAACAACAGCAACAAACAACATACAACAAACAACAAACAACAACCAGCCACCAACAACCAACAACAATAGCAACAAACAACAATAGCAACAAACAACAATAGCAACAAACAACAATAGCAACAATAGCAACAACCAACAACCAACAACCAACAACCAACAACCAACAACCAACAACCAACAACAACAACAACAGCCAACAACAACAACAGCAACAACAACAACAACCAACAACAACAACAGCAACAACAACAGCAACAACAAAAACAACAACAACAACAACAACAACAACAACAACAACCAACAAACAACAAACAACAAACAACAAACAACAAACAACAAACAACAAACAACAAACAACAAACAACAAACAACCAACAACAAACAACAACAACAAACAACAAACAACAAACAACAAACAACAAACAACCAACAACCAACAACCAACAACAACAACAACACCAAACAACAAACAACAAACAACAAACAACAAACAACAAACAACAAACAACAACAACAATAACAGCAACACACACAACAAGCAACAAACAACAAGCAACAACCAACAAACAACAAACAACAAACAACAAACAACAAACAACAACCAAACAACAACAACAACAACAACAGCAACAGCAACAGCAACAGCAACAGCAACAGCAACAGCAACAGCAACAGCAACAGCAACAGCAACAGCAACAGCAACAGCAACAGCAACAGCAACAAACAACAAACAACAAACAACAACAGACAACAGACAACAGACAACAGACAACAAACAACCAACAACCAACAACAAACAACAAACAACAACCAACAGCCAACAACCAACAACCAACAACAACAAACAACAAACAACAACCAACAACCAACAAAAACAGCAACAAACAACATACAACAAACAACAACCAGCAACCAACAACCAACAACCAACAACCAGCAACAATAGCAACAATAGCAACAACAACCAACAACAATAGCAACAATAGCAACAAACAACAAACAACAAACACAATCAACAACCAACAACCAACAACCAACAACCAATAACCAACAACCAACAACAACAGCAACAACAACAAGGTGCTGCTAGGTCTGATTTTTTTTTAAAAATTGCCATTTGGAGAGATTTGGATTGAAGAACTTGGGGAGTAGCCTGTGCCTCATCCATTTCGCCTAGCCCCCCCAAAACTCAGATGAGGCTCAAAGCGAACAGAAACACAATACAATACAGACGCACCACCAATCCGGGGTTTCGGGTTGCGTTTTTTTGGGGGAGTGAGTGATCAATGTGTATGTAACTGTATGTATTTTATAATTAAGCTCGCTACACACTTTGATTTTCAGCTGGTTGGGCATTCCATCGGGTTTCCCAAGAATTAGGGAACTCAAAAACGGCGGAACCTTGTCATTTTTTGCAGGGTCTTTCATGGCTTGGGGGCTGCTTGCTGTGGGAAACACCCAGCTCATATTCCACAACACGTTTAACATTCAGCCGATGATCAACAAACTGCCAAGATGAAACCATCAAAATGTGTAAAATTATGGTGTTTTGAATTGTTGAACATGACTTAACTGTCAGAAAGTAACGGTCTACCCATATGGGCAGGTACCACAATTTCCACTGGTTGGTGATCAAAGGAGTTAGGATTATACTGCAGTTATATGATATTATATGTATAAATATATATATATATATAATGTAGTATAATCTAAGTTAATATCATACCATATCGTATCATATAATAGCATGTCATATAATATCATATGATATCATATAATATAATATAACATAATATAATATAATATATTGTAATTCAATTTAGTATAAATGTTGATAATATAATATAATATAATTTAATTTAATATAATATAATATACATATTAATATATATTGATATAATTGTATAATGCAATATGACACTGTATATTGGAATATATAATATATTATAATGTGATATATTATAGTATGATATACTATAGTATGATATGATATCATTTGATATAATATGATATTATATGATGTGATATTGTGTTGTATTATATGTATATATTAAATATTATTATATGTAGATATTATAAGTATATATTCTATTCTATTCTATTCTGTTCTCTTCTATTCTATTACATTAACTTATATTACATTATATGCTGTTTTATTATTATATTGTATCATATATATATATATTATATCATATTATATTATATTACATTACAATATATGTATAACTATTCATGATATTAATTTATATAATATTATATATTTTTTTTTTTTGTATTTTGTCAATTATTATATTGTATATATATATATTGTATTACATTTTTTTAGTATATCATATCATCATATCATATCATATCATGCACCCTGCGCCTTGAAGGAGATTCGTGATGCGTTGAATGTGACGCTGATCATCACCTTGCAACCGGAGGACGGGACTCCTACAGAAGTTGGTACATTGCATGTACTCAACCTAGAGAAACATATACCCAAACAGCTGTGTCCCACAGTTACCCTCTGGTTATTTAACATAGCCATGGAACATGGCCCATTTATAGATGGTTTACCTCTGTTTCCCTATTGAAAATGGTGATTTTCCATGGCTATGTTAAATAACCAGATAGTATAAGTTGTTTCATGTCTACCCATTCAACATCATTCAACTGCGATGTATGATGGTATCCACCTTGACTCCAACAGGTCCGGTAGTTATAAACCAAGGGGAACTGATTTTTTGGGGGCCCCACAGATCACCCGGTTCCACCCAACCTCCGTTTGATCGGGGCAGGATGAGTCAGTGAACTTACCTTCACAGATCAACTCTAATGTGTATCAGGCCTGGCGGTCTCGTTGATGGTGGGGCCCTCCGATGTTTTGCGGTAATCTGTCAAAGACTTTGCGAACTGGAAAATTTTACAATTTTTCTATAGATAAATTATGGTAAATTATTGAACTCAATGGGCCATCTAAGCCATAGCTATGTTAACCTACCAGATCATTAGTACTATCCAACATATCTCATAGTGATAGTGCTGGTGTTGGAGGACTTAGGGAGGCCTACACGAAGAATCTATCACTGTTTCCGATCACTTCGGGAGACTCCTTCAGAGGGAATTGGATCAGAAGCCGGGGATCTGGGGATTATACTACTCAGTACAGGAAAAAAACGGGGAAGATTGGGGATGATCATCAACTGGTGATCCCATGGGAAATCCTGTTCTTAAAGAAGCAGCTGTCTGGAATGACACGAGTGGATTTTTAACGTCTGCAGGTGTCTGTGCGAGTCTTCACCATTGAAGAGAGGTTGAAACAATTGCTGTCAGAAATCTCAGAATTGCAAGGCCGCATTGATGCTCGGTTTTTCAATAAATGACAAAATATACTGTAGGATCTACAGGATGTATTTGACAATTATGAAATATATATTATATTATATTATATTATATTATATTGTATTATATTATATTTGTCAATTATGAAATCGGATTATTGGAAATCTACAGGAACTCCCCAGATATTCCTGTCGATTTCCCTTTCAATCCAGCCATTGAGTTTTGACCAAAGCTTTCAGCATAGCACTGATCAGGAAGAAGGCATAGATCACTCAGTGGTTCCACATGTCTGTGTTCTTACGGGGTTTAGACTGCCACAAACATGTACAAATATCAACTATGGCGGTGAACACAGTGGAGGAGAAGATAAGTAAGCTTCTGAATCGGGAGGGTGTCGCGACCACTCCCTTTTTGAGTTGTCACAAAATTCGGATACCCCAATCTATGCCATGTTAAGCCCGTGAAACATGGGAGTGGTACACTACCTTGGAGACAGATCCCAAAATTCCAGTGCCATTTCTGGGTGAACTTTGACCCAGAAATGGCACTCGCTGAGGACGCGAACCAAGAGATGTCTTCCCAGTTTGAACTCGCTGAGAACTTGCGGAAGTTGGAGAAAGCCACGGTGGCACGGCATCTCGGTGGTTATGACCTCCCAAAGCACCAAAGCAAAGCCAGTTGGTTGGAGTGACTCCAAGGGGTCATTGTTTGAATCATTATCATTATTTATATCATATATATATATACTATAGAGTTATTCTTGGATTACCAGATTTTGGAGAGTAACTCCAGAAAACACTCACATTTTTAAGTGAGTATTTGCAGGATTCATTTCATTTCAGATTGTCCAAAAGTGGAGACTGCCTATCGATCCAGCAGTAGAAGGGCATGACACTGGGTTTTGGGGACAGGTTCAGCTTGGCAATTCACAGCGCAAACTACTTCATCAATCTTCTATGTGAAAGGGACTTTGCATGATAGGATAGGATTGGTGTTGAACCAAGATGTCATATAATGATCTTCACAGTGTGAAGATTGAAATCCCAAGAAGAGCCGCAAGACACGGATCCGAAAGAACGGGACCAGGAATTTGTATGAGTTTCTTTGCTGGTGTTTATTCCTGTAGTCTTATTGCTCAACCCAACTTAATCCCACCAAACACGGGCATTCTACATATATATATAGAGATACACACAAATACTGGGTTGGATGGTTTTCAGAACTGGACTCAGATTTGGCGCCCACATGAGCTCAGGAATGAGCTCCTGCGACGGGCATATCGAAATCAACATCCTGACACCAGATTCGTGAACTCAGAGTGCGCCTGCTGGAAACCACTCGGGAGACTGCTGGATGTCAGTGATCGATGTTTTCTCGTTTTCTCGTTGGCAGGATTTGCCAGAATATGCCAGGTTGTGGTCTTCATTACTGTGTAGGCTTACTGTTGTTGGGGTTGTTTGCCCTTTTAAATATGGTAGCTGCGTGTCTTCTGGCTATCCCACAAAAAAGGGGGCCAAGCGGCCAACATGCATAGATGTGATGACATGTCATGACCAACTAATGGGAAAATCAGATCAAAATAATCACATTTGTTATTAGATAGTAATAATTTAGTAATATCATATCTATATGTGATAAGATATATATAAAATCATAGCATGATATAATGATATCATAGCAAATAGTCACAACTGTTATAAAGAATGGGATGTTTGATGTTTGATAAAAATAATGGTTCCAAGGCATCTCCAAAAAGCCTTGCAGTTTTTTTTCGGGTCAGCTTTGAGGCGCGTGACCTTCCTGACCATTGGCGTCACCGGCACGGGCAAGTCGGAGTTGTGTCGTTGCTCGGTGACGGAGCACAGGTCTGTTGGCTCGATCCTAATTTTCCCAGTGTATTTGGGACATTTTTGGGCGTTTTTCGGCTATCTCCATTTTTAGACACAAACATTGATGTGGTTAGATGATGTTAGATGATTCTAAACCATTAACATCATCTAACATTAGATTCTAATGTTAGATGATGTTAGATGATGATAAATGATCAACAAATCCGAATGACACTTAAATATTGAAGGTTCTAATTAAACTGGTTGATTCGAGATTGTGATTCGAGTACTCCAGTGCTTTGGGGATTGGCTCGGCGTACGCACAGCTCAGGGGCTCAACTCACAAGGCCGGTGCAAGTTCTCCAGTGGAAATCCTGTGGGTTGTATGAACATTGGACAATGGGATAACCATATGGGTATGGGTCAAAATTAGGTACCCCAATAATTGGATGGTTAATACTAAACTAGACATTCACATCTGTGGTCCCCTAGGTCTTCCATTTTGACAATGGGATACCCTCTGGTAAACTAACAGTTAGCTATGGAAAATCACCATCTTTAATCGGTAAATCAACTATAAATGGGCCATGTTCAATAGCTATTTGACAAATTACCAGAGGGTAACCATATCCATCCCATTATCCATCCCATGTTGAGATCTCCCAGTTTCAGATGATTTCCTCATATGGTGCAAGGTGTGTAACTCCGATCCATGGATAAGCATGGTTTGCAAAGGGATTGTAACATCCTCATAGGATCTGTCAGATGTTGTGGTTGATTGGTTGATATATGTTGATATCATTCTCCAGTGGCTAAGCATTGACAAAGTCAAAAAGACTCCAAAAGGAGTACCGGAAGCTTGCGCAAGCCAAAAGTGAGGCAAAAGTGACGGATTTCAGAGATTTCACCCCATTTTCTCAAGAAATGGGAGGTCCTCCATTCTGAGAAGCAGAAATGGCTCCCAGGTTGGATGACTGGCAAGGCGGACGAATGTCAAAGCAGCGATAGCATGGAGTCACACACCAGTTACTGGGATGACCCGTGACCGCCGTGACCGGTGCCCGGAATCCTAAGTGGATCTAAGATGTTCTAAGGGATTTATTATATATATATATTATATACACATGGTTACTGGGTTATCCTTTAGTTTGGTAAGTAAGTGGGTCATGTGGGGGACTTGTTTTTCTGTCAAAAGGAGATAACATGAAATGGACTATAACCAGCTAAACAAAGCTGAAAAATGAGCTTATGTATTAATGTAATATATGTATATGTATATATATATATAATATACATGGAATAAAACATTGATACCTGTTACCTGCAGGGATTATTTCACTTAGTTTCCACTTAGTAAGTGGGATACACAACCAAGTACAGTAGGAGTTCGAATTGGATTGGAGACCACAAGGGGGTGCAAAAGGTCCATTTGCGGTACATTAATGTGAATCCAGACCAAAAGTGATTCATCATATGTTTGTAAAAACAAAATGAACCAATGATCGATATGTATGATATATATATATATAGGGAGAGAGATACATATATAGATTGTCATCACATTTCATCACTCACAAACCATTGATTTATCACATTTTGGTGGTCATAACTTACATGCCATGGGTCAAACGTCAAGGCCACGGCCATTGTCGCAACAAATCTTGACACCATCCAGATTTGTTCTGTTTCTCAGGCAAATCCGAAACAAATCGTGACTATGAAAATCATAGTTCACCAAAAAACACCCAGATCTTTTGAGACTTCAAAGAAGAACCGTTTTTTTTTTGGAGAAGACCAGAACTCCAAGAATCAATGGATGTGACGTAGTGACATCCTTTCCTTATTTTGGTGACCCCTGGATCTTCCATTGGAGCGAAGCTGTTCAGGTGAAATCCATCGAATCCAAGCGCATGCCTTTGGCGACAATCGCTTGCAGCCTTTGATCGAATGGATCGATACCCCTGGGAGAGGAGACACCAGGGGTGAAAGTTTTGACAGCAAGTTGCGTGGCTGACAGGACTTGGTGTTTTAGTGAGGTGAATTTCCTGTACCTAGTTATAAAATGTTGTAAATGGATGTAAATGGGAATAACTTCGATTCTATGTTTCATGATGTTTCACCATTTCTATCCCCTAATGTTCCCAGTAGTTCATATGTTGTCATGTGTCATATACTTTGTTTAATGCTCTAATCTGAAGCCCTCTTCAAGCACAACAACTGTTTATATTTGCCACTTAGACTTCAATACTCACATTTTTGTTTATGTTTTTTTGATCCCAAGTTTACTAGGCCGGTTGCGCTTTCAATCCTTTTTTTTGCAGTACTTTAGTCATGTCCTTTTCCATGGGTACTTCACAATTCGCGGGAAAACTATCAGTTTTGTGCAGATCCGATATATTAGTTTGATATTTCTTGTATTGCGTTTGTTGCTAGTAGAAATTAGCGTTTCTTCGAGCAAACAAACAACTTTTTGCCTGCTTAAATCTCCATCCTTTGAGGCAACATGCGCCAACGTCGAATTTCTAGGTAGTCAATTCATTGTTTCCCACGCTGCAATCCTTCCAATCCTTCCAATCGGCCTTTTGGAAACAACTCGGAATCGTCCTCATGTATAATGTCACCCTTTTCCAGCCAATGGGTCCCACAAAATATATGTTAAACTATAGGATCATCAAAACTGGAGCATTTTATATATGTAATTTCTTTCTGAGTATTTACCTTCTTATTCTTCGTCTTCTTCATCATCAGCATCACTTACATGCGTGGCATATCATTCCATTATAAATCCGTATGATATCCTGGGATATTATTCCCTAACAACTCAGATATTTCTATACGCTCGTAATGTCATCATCACAATCTCCATACTAAAAAAATCATACAGCTATCCAAAATCACAATGTTTTATGGAAAATCAACGTAAATCATCCAACAATTGGCCATCTAAAACCATGACATTTCCTCCCGTGCTTATGGTTGGCTGGAAAATCCACCAAGGACGACGATGGATTCTCAACGAGTTTACTCGATTTATAGTTGATTTTCCCAGATGTTCCCAACCATATTGATTGTTCATTAGGATTGATTAAATTATAGTTTAAGAGGATTATATCCAATCTTATATAGGTTATATTGATCCTCCAATTATAGGTGATTTTCTCAGCTATAAACCTTCATTTATCACCGGAGTATGGAACCATATGGAACCCATGGGTCACCCAGCTGTAGGCTTTGGAACCGCACCATGTCGCAGCTGCTGCAGCGCGGCAAAGAAGGCGCCGTCATCGACCGCATCGTCTGGGTGGTGAACGCGGCCTGGCAGCGGGCCACGGAGCTGCGCAACCGGATGCTGCAGGAACTGCGTGGCGCGGATCTGAACCAACTGGATGGGGAGATGACCATGAAAAATGGGGAGAACAAGACCCCTCTGAAAGGGTTCAGCAAGGCCCCGGATGGGGTGGTTAGTATTCCCCATTTTTGTATATTTCTTACCTCATGGTAAATTAACATGTGGACCCTGAAAATCACCAATTTTTAATGGATACTAATCTTCCAACCCCGATGACTGCCAGGGTCTATGTTAATTTACCAGAGGGTAATGGCAGTAATTAGATGTAATTAGTATGGAGATGTCATGGGATATGATGGATATGGATATTTGACTACCCTTTTGGATTTTTCATGGGGATGGCTTCATTTGGGGTAAACTATAAGATAGATGTGGAAAATCAGTATGCTAAGAAAATGATCTACGGTAATTTAACCTAGCTATAGATCATTTACCATGATTTACCCATTAAAATGGTGACTTTCCATTGTTGAACCACCAGAGGATAAGCAACAAAATTGGGTTTTAATCTCCAAAAACAATAGTAATTATAATGGAAATAGATTTGGATACTTGGTGCTAGAGTCTGCTAGAGGTCACGATGTAAATGATAGGTAGTCAGCCAACCACCCCAATTCAGTGAACCCCCCCAGTAATCAAGATGGTGAATAATTTAAGACGTGCTTATTATTAATGTGGGACGCCTTATTTAAACACCTACCATTTGGGGATGGTGTTCCACCCATTGCTGGTGATTTTGAGATAGCGTATTCTTGGGTTTAGCACATTAGGGTTTTTTGATGGCCAATAAACCCTCAATCCTATCCCTGTGGGGTCAGTCTTTGAGGCTCAGCATCCCGTGAAAACAAACCATTTTTTTCGTTGAGGATGTAGTAACCATCAACATATGATCAAGTATGGGCGGTGTTTGAATCAGCTATCAAGTATATTGTCTGCTAATCTGCTAATTAGTTGTTATAGTCTTGGGTTGTGTATTCATATATCTCATTTTCCTGCAGGAGGTTGAAATTTAGTTACATGTATCTATTGAACCATCAACAAACAGTCGGATGTGTTCAAACCCCGCAAAATGAGTCAATACCTGGGTTTTACCACTTACTTACATTTTATGTATATGTGTATTGCAGGATGTAAAATGGTGTTTCACATATGTGTTTTTAACTATATAGACATCACGTAAACCTATCAACCGTCAAAACACAGCTTACAAAGTACCAGGATGAATCAATCAAAAGTGTTGTTTGATGTATGGGGGACGGGATTTGTCAATAGCAAAAATGTGTGAATGTAACCATGATCCAACATCCACGGAATTCCACGGAGGATTGATGGTTGGAAGCTTGGAAGCCGGAGTCCGACACATCTGAAGTCTTTGGGATATTTTAGGAACAGAGCACAGCAATCACATCCATGTCGGGAATAGTTGGGACGTACGGTTGATCATATTTCATCATTATTTGACACAAATGTCCAGAAGCAGAAAGTTTGAAGTATCATGGGCTGCGGACCTATTGTGATTGCAATCATAATGGTTCAGTGTTGCCGGGACTTGTCGAAGGTTTGGGTTTTTCAAGTGGCACTTCCGATGAATCCTGGCCGCGTTGACGCTGCGACCTCGGGCGCTGAGGTATGTCCTTTGGTGTGGACCTGTATCAAAACCTGGTGATCATGTTGAACTTCCTGCCTCACTCAGCCAATAAGACGGAGTATGACGAAGTGGACATGGCATGTTTTTTTCGCAAATGGTCTGGGAAAATGGCAGGTGAATGGCTGAGTTGATTGGATATGCAGAAATATGCCGATATTTTGATGGAGAAATCACGCTTTTTACACAAAGAAACAAACTATAAACTACTAAACTGTAGAGGTATCTGAGTTTTGGTATCTGAGTTTTGCCATAGTAATTGCCCCACCAGTATGAAAACCCGGAAACCATCAAGTTCTGGGATTTCACTGGAACCTCCAGCAGATTCCTCAGACATTTCTGCTATGTTGAATCTGCTTGGATTCTCTCTGAGTTTTGCTCATTCCATGGATTGATTTGAGATTTAAAAACACAACAGTATTTCATTGATCCATGTATTTTCCATGTTTCAATCCATTGTCACAGCATTGATTTGAGACTGGACAATATGTTTTCAATATTCAACTCCTGAGTACTCTTGAGTTGCCTCTGTTTGTCCATTAAGTTGGGAGAACATTGCTGAGATGGTGTTTTTTTTTTTGTACCGATATGCCAGGTGAAACGAAGGCAAAAGGAGAAATTTGTGAATTGGATCATGAAACGAGACTTGGATTAATTTGGGTGTATTAAAACATTGAGGGATTGTTAGGAGCATATCCAATATTCATGTTGGTTATTGGGTTTCCAACATTTATGAAAATGAGGAATTGATCCCCCAATTGCAATTTTAAAAATTTTGATGCTGATAGGGAAACGGATGGAAACGGAAATATGATAAAGCTATACACATAGTGGTTGCTGGTTTGGAACATTTTCATTTTTCCATATATTGGGAATAATAATCCCAAGTGACTAATATTTTTCAGAGGGGTGGAACCACCAAGCAGAATAAGTTACAAGATGTTGCAAGCACTGTCATCCATATCGTTGATAGTTAAGGATCAGTTTTTTCGCGGTTCCGGGTTGCTTCATAGCCGTGCTTTTCTTGACTGGCACTGTTCAGGTTTATCAGCAGAATGTTATGCACGTATCAAATGATCGTTGGTCAATAGATAGTGTTAAGACTGTTGATAATATGTCAATATTGTTATACAATGTTTGTTATTTATTGTTGGTTGTATATACCACTAAATGCATACATCTGTATGCATATGACCATTTGTCAAAAATAGTTGTTTAGAAGTTTAGTATTGGTTGTTGATAATTCATCTGGGTCTACTGTTTTTTCCTCTTCGTTATGAGGCGGCACGCAACTAAATTCAGCAATTCTGCAAGGCAGCGCTAGCAAACCCGCTAGGTTTGCGCTAGGTTTGATTGACAGTCGTGAATGTCTTGCCAGCTTTTCTTACAAGTCTGTCAGTTTCCACATATTCCCAAATTTTCGATTTTTTTACGTATTTTACGCGCTAGATCGCCGCTAGCAACGCGCTAGCGAAAATTGCAAACACATGCCCCGGTCCACCCGCAGCCCATTCAGAGGCACAGCCATGTTCACGCTTTGGTAGCTTACAGTAAGGAAACAGCGTTGATCAGGAGGCATGTCAAGAAGCATATTGCATTCAGAGAGGCACACACACAGAGACACACAGTTCAGGAGATAGCACCAGCGACAGCGAATGAAAACCGACGTGCGTTAGCCGATTCCTGTGGTTTCAGAAAGATTTCCAAAGGTAACGAAGAATTTCCACGTTTTCACGTCATCAAGGTAGGTCATGTTTTTTAAAGGCAAACATGATGCGGCACGCATGGAATTGCGATTTATCAACAAAACCGGGAACAAACATTTTGACAAACCGTCATATAATTGTATATTATATAGATGGCTATATATATATATAGTCATCTAGATATACAGATTGTATTATTCATGATTTAGGAACTGATGTTTTGTTAATTGATATCCCCGTGATACAACCATGACAGTCCCATTTGAACACACACAAGGCAGACATATGAATCTATCCAAGTCCGTTGGTTGGTATACATATATATATATATGTTACATATATTCATATGTATATATATATACATACATACATACATACATACATACAGTATGTACGTACATTTGGCGTTGATCTCATGCCTATCCTACCCCCATTCTTGTTGCTTGAAACCAATTAGTAGATCCTTGTTCTACAATATGCCCACCTATGTTAGCTATAGATCCATCACATTTATATTTTGACGATTGCAATACTGCAATACCCAATGACCCAATGATTGGTTGGGCATTTGTTTCAGTTGTTGTTGGTGGTGAATATCCCCAGTGATGGTGCATGCTTGAGATCTGCCATGCTGTTGATATTCCTTATTGGTGAGAGCAACACTGTGGTTTTGGCAGGTTGGCATCCCCGGTTTTGTTGTTGTTTGATATACTCAGTATATATAAACACAACTATTTTCTCGCAAAAATGGTTTGAAGATGTTTGAAGGATCAGTAAATCGTCTTAAGTCCAGAACAGTTCACTTTTGTTTAGGCATATCACATGTTCAAGCAATAGTACACATCACCAGCCACTTGTAATGGATTGTGAAACATCGGATGTTTTGTTTTGTTGTTTCTACACTGCTACACCATTCTGAATGGACTGCTAGGGGGTAGCTCCTAGGAGAGGACGAGATGTTTCACTGGCCTCCGGCACTTCGTGATGGCATTGATGCTCGGGTCCAGGCATGCTTCATATCCGGGCATTTGGTGAAATTGTCGAAGCAAAATGTGTCTTTATAATTCTTTATACCCTCTGGTTATTTTACATAGCCATGGAAAATGGTTTATTTATAGATGGTTTACCTATTAGAAATGGTGATTTTCCATGGCTATGTTAAATAACCAGATGGTAC